TCTCTCTCTCTCTCTCTCTCTCTCTCTCTCTCTCTCTCTCTCTCTCTCTCCTCCTCTCTCCTCTCTCCTCTCTCCTCTCTCCTCTCTCCTCTCTCCTCTCTCTCCCTCCCTCCTCAATTATTCAGGAGCTTCTAGAATAGCTGAAAAAATGAAGGATGTAATGGGTGTAACCTAGGACACTGCAATGACAGTCTTTGTCATTGAGACTTTGTCTTTGAGACTTTTTAACAACTGTCCCTTGATCCTGGGAAATAATTTGCTTTCTAATAGTGGCTGATGTTTGATTGCAAAACAAAACAAGCTACACACATGCAGAAATTCCAGATGAACGAAGTAAGATTATGCTGAGCCACTGGGCAGGAATCTGATCACTGAAGCAAGCTTATTTAGTTAGCATGCATATATAATTTTTACATGTCCTGGAACTTTATATCTGGGCCCATGTTTAGCTTTGTACAGAAGACACAAAATGTCCCAAAATTGCACTTGTTTTCTCCAATACCTTGGATAAGCTCTGATGCTCCGAAGAACAGCCTTACCAATTTTCTATTGTGGAGGCTGTTTGAAAGGCCACGCTTGTTCTGCTTGGATAAAAATTGAAAGTGGTATCTTAAGAAAAAAAATGCATACTAGGCTAACCTGAATAAATTGTGCCAATTAAGCCTGTTGTAGAAGGCTCCTTATTGTGTGTTATTTAGCCTGTTTCCCCAAACCCCGCTGCTCCCAGATAAGGTGAGTATCTATAAATGGGAAGCCTCGAGTCATGAACATTGCAAGTCTTGACTATTTTTTATTTTATTTATTTATTTTTGTCAAAAGCTTACAATATAACAGAAACAAGAATAAACGTAAGTTTAAATACAAGAAATAGGAACTAATAATTGGGGACAATAGGACAGGGATGGTAGGCACGATGGTGCGCTTATGTCCTTAATTAACTGTTGGTCTCAGCAGGCACCAGCTCACACAGTACAGTAGCAGCCATACTTACAACCACAATTGGGATCAAAATTTCTGTTGCTAAGCAAGGTGGTTGTTAAGCGAGCGACATCCGATTTTTGTGATTTTTGCCATTGTGATTTAAGCAAATTTTTGCTGTTAAGTGAATCATACAATTGTTAAGTGAAGCGAGCTTCCTCTATTGACTTTGCTTGTCAGAAGCCAATCGGGAAGGTCACAAATGGCAAACATGTGACCCTGAGTTGCTTTGATTATCATAAATACCTGCCAGCTGCCAAGCATCTACATTCTGACCACGCGATTGTGGGATGCTGCAATGGTCATTAGTGCAAGGACCAGTCATAAGTCAGGTCTTTTCAGTGCTGTTGTGACTTTGAATGGCCCTAAACAAATGGTTGTAAATAAGGACTACCTGTAGTTTATTTTATCTGAATTTATTGAAGGAAACAATTCAGCTGATTAATACAACATATTGCTTGAAAACCGCAAAATTCATGAGACTTAAGTCACTATGGCCATGGAGCAGACTGTCCTGCACCTTCAGTAGGGCTATAAATGGTGAATATGTTTGAACCCATCTTTCTTAACCTCAGTAAATTTAAGATGTGTGGACTTCAACTTTCATAATTCCCCCCCCCCCCCCCCAGCTACCATTATGTTATCCCAAAGGTAATTTTTCAAGAGGTAACTGGGCTTTGTTTTTCTTTGAAGACATTTCACTTCTCATCCAAGAAGCTTCTTTGGCTCTGACTTGGTGAGGAAAGGATTTATATTTCAGGCAGCTGGTCATTTGCATTCTTTCAGAGAGAGTTGTTGAGGCACTTGGAAGTTTATCTGTGTCTTCAGGGTCACCTGAATGGTGCAAATTGGTGAGGAGCCTTTTTGAAATTGCTGAAAGGACTGTGTTGTAGACTGGAGATAGATTATTATCTTAAATTATTATCTTAAATGTAGACCCATATATCTTCCACGGGAATTCACCATGGTTTTGATTACTGCAGCCTATGTCCCACCTGATGCCAATGCTACCATAGCTTTGGGATTCTTGTATAACATTGTAAGTAATCAGCAAAATAAATATCCTGGTGCTGTGCATATCATAGCGGGGGACTTTAATCAAGCTGATTTAAAAGAAGTGCTCCCTAAATTCTATCAGCATGTTAAGTGTGCTACTAGAGGAGCAAACATATTGCACAAAGTATATACCAACATCAAACATGGCTATAAGGTTATACAATTACCTCATTTGGGACAATCAGACCATATGTCACTGCTTTTAGCACCGGCGTACATCCCTCTTAGGAGAAGGACTCTGACTATAATAAAGACAGTGAAATCTTGGCCAGAAGATGCTTTCCAACAACTTCAGGATTGTTTTGAGAATACAAATTGGAACATCTTTTACCACCCTGACATAGAAGACCACACTGTAACTGTTCTGTGCTATATTAAACACTGCACAGATACTATCACTGTGGATAAACATATTAGGATCTATCCCAATCAGAAACCCTGGGTGACCAAGGAAGTCCAGCACCTCTTGCGTGACAGGACCAAGGGGCAAGATACAGTTTTGCCAGAGCTAATCTGAAGAAAGGTATTCGGAAGGCTAAGACTGATTATAAGAGGAAGATTGAGGATAATTTTTATAGCAATAACATGAGGCAGGTGTGGCGAGGGATTCAACAAATTATAAACCATCCACCGACCAGTTGTCATCCCTGCTGAGGGGGATGCTTCATTGGCAGAGGAACTGAATCATTTCTTTGCTCGCTTTGAAGTGGAGACATCAGAGACAGATAAAATACAACTACCAGCCAACTGTAGCCCCCACCTCATTGTGGAGGAACAGGAGGTGAGGAGCATTCTGAGGGCCGTGGACCCTAGAAAGGCTGCCGGTCCTGACAGTATCTCTGGCCAAGTGCTTAAAGACACTGCTGATCACTTGGCTGGAGTCTTTATCAGGATCTTCAATCGGTCTTTATCCCAGTCCACTATTCCATCCTCTTTGAAGGCTTCCACCATTGTTCTGCTGCCAAAGAAGTTTCCTATCAATAACCTCAACAATTACAGACCAGTGGCATTCACTCCTATCATCATGAAGTGCTTTGAGAAATTGGTCTGCCAGCACATCATTTCTGGTCTTCCGCATACATTTGATAAGCACCAGTTTGCATACAGAAAAAATAGATCTACAGAGGACACTATAGCCATCACTCTTCACACTGCTCTGACTCATCTAGAGCAGCAGGGAGGGGGGGGCTATGTGAGGATGCTTTTTGTGGATTTTAGTTCTGCATTTAATACAATTTTTCCGCATAGACTAGTGTCTAAACTTCTGGACCTTGGGCTTTAATTATTCAATCTGCCTTTGGATTATGGATTTCCTGTCTGGCCGCTCACAGAGGGTCAGATTAGGTCATCATACCTCTTCAGCCCTTATTAACCCTGGTACACCACAGGGTTGCATGCTGAGTCCCTTACTCTATACTCTTTATGTGCATGACTGCATTCCCACTCACGTGAGTAATACTATTGCTAAACAGTGGTGGGACTTATCTCCAGGGGGGATGAGTCTGCCTACAGAGATGAGGTGGACTGGTTGCTTTCATGGTGTGGAGACAATAACTTGATCCTCAACACCAATAAGACCAAGGAGCTTATAGTGGACTATAGAAGGAACAGATCAGACATCCAGCCCTTGCTTATCAATGGAGACTGAGTGGAGCAAGTGGCCAGTTTTAAGTTTCTGGGTGTTACCCTAAAAGAGGACTTGACCTGGGCTGCCCACATTGCAGCCCTGGTCAAAAGGGCCCAGCAGAGATTATACTACCTGAGTCTTATCAGAAAAAAACAACAGAATGAAAAACGGCTGGTGACCTTCTACCGCTGCACCATAGAGAGCATTTTAACATACTGCACCTCTGTATGGTTTGCCAATTGCACAGTGGCAGGTAGGAAAGCACTCCAGAGGGTTAATGTCATTGCCCAGAAGATCATTGGTTGCCCTCTTCCCTCTTTGGAAGAGCTTTATAGCTCCCGCTGCCTTAAGAAAGTTCAAAACATTCTCAAAGATCCATCTCATCCTGGGAACCCCCCCTTTTTTAACTATTACCATCTGGCAGACAGTACAGAATAATAAAAACAAGGACAAATATCCTGAAAAACAGCTTCTATCCCAGGGCAGTAGCTCTTTTGAATTCTGCTGTATAGTGCAGTGTTAGCGTGGTGTCAGGGGTTTCTGGTTCAATGTGTGAAGGGGGAAGGATGTGTGTTGTGTTTATTTTCATGGTCAGGGTCATGATGTGCACTGAAGATGGTGTTTGATTTCATTGTATGAGATGCAGTGACAATAAAGTAAACTAAACTAATGTCGCATCTGTCCCACTCTTATTGAGAGAAGGCTGTTCAATTTTCACATAAATGGTCTCTTTGTGTTATGTTAAGAATCTCTCAGTTCTTTAGAATAATAACACTTAAAAAGGTAGTTGTAATTTTTTTCTGCTAATTATGCTGCCCACTATATTTCCTGCTATCCCATGTAGCAGAATAGGTTGTATGCTCATGTATCTTAAATTTCTTTCTTGTGGCTATCATATAGTCTCCCACAGTGTTTTAAAGAAAAACACTCCTACTGTCCAAATTCAAAAGCCAGCATATGGTATAATATATACAGTTTAAAATCATAAGCACGAGAGTGGTTCAAAGCATTTCACAATTATTTAAAAAGTTTAAAATCATACTTAGTTAGAAAAATATCCCTCCTGAATCAGAACAAAAGGGCACATAGTTTGGGGAGAGGGGCCATTTCAGGAGATACTTAAAAGGATCCCTAATATTTGTCAGCAAAGATAGTTTCAAACTTTAGTTAATGAGTAGAGAGCACCAGGTGATACAATATGTGAGTTTTAAAGAAACATACCAAAACTCTGATATTACCAAAGCAGAAATGTGTTACTGAATCATTTTCAAATCAAGTAAAATATAAAGCTAATACTTCATTCCAAAATGGCAATCAAGCAGGCAGACATAAATAAAATTGTTTATTAGATTTTTTTTGCCACCCATCTTTACAAACTCCAAGAGATGATTCTGGGCAGCTTGCAGAAATTAAAAGCCAATAAAACTCTGAACAATAAATATAGGTGGCCCTCAATTTGCAACCATTCATTTAGTGACTGTTTAAAGCTGCAATGATACTTGTCCAAGTGAGCCAAAAAGTGCTACAGTAATCAAATTCAGTAATTCTGTCTTTCCCTTATTGCTTTTTTCTAAATAACTTTTGTGAAATGATAGATTTGGAAAACATATGAAGGCACCATTTTTCAGATTAAAACAAAAGATTCTAAATTAGTTTCATTATAAGACAGTCTGGTTCCTAAAGCTTACTTTCTTGTAAAAAAAATACAAGAAAAAGAATTTGAAAGAAGACAAACTAAAAACACTGAATATATGAAGTAATTATTTCATTTCCGAACAAGCAGAAGTCATGTTTGTTTCTTGGTTGCACTGCACAAGCCTCAGGCTATGCTTGGGTGATATTTATACAAGTAGTTACTTCACTTCATTAAGATGTGTCAAGATAATACAAATGCAAATAATATTTTGGGCTAGTAGGAACAATAAATACATGCCTCTAGTAATAATTCATTATATAACTGATCTTTTAATTAGTTCACTTAAAGGTAAAAGAAGCCTCAGTGGAAATAATCTTTGTTACAAGAACCTCACTAAAGTAAATAACGCAAATTCTATTAATCATATCATAATTTTCCTTTTTTTAGCTTCTGCATAATTATTCTTTGGTAGTAGTGACATGACATGCCAGGAGAGGGGGAAAGGTGTTTAGCTATTTGTACACATCTGATTTTGTACATGTCTCTGTCTTTATGGCCACCTGGTATAGCTTTTTAGGTAAAATTGGAAACAGTCTTGGGCATGTCTGTTGCTTCGTTGCTGTCACTTTTCTTAGGGTGGACATCTTCATGACCAGCAATCCTCCACCTGTTCCTCCCTTTCTGATACAGCCAAGAGCTTTATCATTAAAAGATAGGATAAGCCAACCAGGGATAAATGCAGAAGAGGAGCAGGATGTGGATTCAGCTGGCAGGACCACAATTCTGCATTTGCTTCCTTCTGCTTGAAAATAACTGCCATATTAAATCTCAATCTTAGTCCAGATAAAAAAGAAAGGAGAAAATTAAATAAAGTGTGGATTAAATCTAAAATTCAGAGACACTTTGTACCACTTGCTTCAGAATAAATCTTATTGAATTCACCTTCCTTCCACTATAATGTTGAGGTTCTATTGCATCTCTTCACCTTTTTAGCATTGACATTTGGAAGGGACCTTGTAGGTCATCTAGTCCAAACCCCCCCCCCAAAGCAGGAGACCCTAGTACACCATTTCTGACAGATGGCAGTCCAATCTCTTCTCGAAAGCTTCCAGTGATGAAGCTCCCATAACTTCTGAAGGCAACATCTGTTCCATTGGTTGATTGTTCTTACTGTCAGAAAATGCATCCTAATTTCCAGGTTGAATCTCGTTGATCAGTTTCCATCCACTATTTCTTGTCTGGCCTTCAGGTGCAGGGATGCTTTGGATGGTGAGATGGGCAGCATATAAATTTAATAAAAAATTTAAAAATACACATTACAACAATATCTTATTGAAGGGTCAGAAATGAAAATCCCTCTGCTCCTTTAGTGCCATCTCAGGCTCCGCTTGCCCTCTCCTTGCCCAGGATGATATTTTGTGTATTCTGTTCTTTTCCTGCAGCAAGGGAGCCCAGTCAAAGAGTGTCCTATTTCTCCACCTTCATTGGTGGGTCTTTAAACTGACAACCGCTCTTTTCCCCGCCTCTTCCTGGACCAATCTCCGCCCCCGAAAAGCGGAAGGGGTTCCAGTGCGTGCTTAGATGCGGGCGATGGGGGAAAACGAGTCGGTTTTGTGCTTTCTGTCTCCGGAGGACTCTTTCCTCTGAAACCCCTCGAGGCTTTTCTCTGCGTTTCTCTCCACACTCCACACCGCCTTTGCCTTGCATCCTCCTTTCCTTGCTTCGGTACTTCCCCCGGGTTCCTAGGCTTCCTTCCCGCATTGCCTGATGGAAGGACAACATATAATGGCCCAGGTCCACATCCAAGCCGCCTCGTCTAATTCCGTAGCCGGGGAAGAATCCAGGCGGTTGCCGAACCCGGTGCGGGTTGCAGCCAGGGAAAGCATGGCCGGAGGACGTCTGTTGGACAGTCACAGCTTGGATGGGATAAGCCAGGTATACGGGGCATCCAAGAACCAAGAAGGAAGGAGGGCTACTATATCGAGCGCCTTGGAATTGGAAGGAACAGTGAGCTACGATGGAGATCTGACACATTTTGTGGCCAACAACTTGCAAATGAAGATCAAGATGAGCTCTCGGGGCAGTCTGGATGATACAGAGCCCACCTCCTCATCGATGTCATCCCAACACTCTGTCCGAGGCAAAACTGCAGACATCCCTCCAGTGGATCCTCAGGTCCTTCGGGATCTGGAAAGGCTGACCACAGATGTGGCCCAGAGAGTAGACCAGATGTTGAGAGCCTTGAACAGCGCCATCCAGAATATGACAGCACTCAGTGTAGGCTACATCCAGACCTATCGAGATGCTGTGGACAGTTTGGGTGAATCCGTGGACATGAGCATCAAAGGGATGTACACTCTGATGGCCAGGTGTGAGGAGTTGGATCGCTCCATGCAACCTGTTCACATCCTCGCTAAGCAGATCCGGGAGATTAAGAGGACTCTGGAGATTTTTGAGGCAGTCTGCAAATAGGACCCCTTCTTTGGAAGGGATCAATTTGTGGAATGGTGGGAAATAAAAAAGGGTGAGCATTGGACTTCCTGGGATTTGGGATTTGAAAGGGAAACTTGTGTTTTTAATGAAATATTTCGAGGAATAAATTATGACAGTACTGTACTTGTCTCCTGTTGTGATATTTGCTCTTTTTTGTGTTTACTAAACCTTTCCCAACCTAACCCAGAATTTTGGAGGACCTTAATAATTACCAGGATTCTTCTATCCATTTCTGTGGCTGTTTCTTCCCCACAAAATTTCACACGTTACATGTCTCTTGTAGTTAACACTGCTTAACATTATCTGTCAAAATATGACATGCAAGGCATGAAAGCTCTGGAACTATCCCTGTAGTCCCTTTTTTCATATTATACCAATTCTCTTATTTTTTCATCATAAGACTATAGTCTGAACCAAATAAGTCTATCAAGAGACCTTGTAGGCCAGTCACTCTCTGGGCCCAACCCACCTCACAAGTTTGTTGCTGGAGGAAATGGGAGGAAGATGCATTGGATATGCTTGCTGCACTATTTGCAAAAATAATAAAGACAGGATGCAAATATTTATCATTTGTAAGCTGCTGTGAGTCATTTTGGAACTGACCATCAGTTGGGGGTTCAACTCTTAGTAACCATGTTTATTAAATTTATATTACCCCAAAGGGAGTGCCTTTTGACTATCCAAAGTGTGTGGGCCATTATGGTAAATATTTTTTTTCCTCCAGAACTGAGCAACGTAGAGATCTAGAAATCGCAATCTTAAATAAAGCCCTATGTATCACACTTATATTAAGGCGCAGGAGAGCAGAAATCGAACAAATGAATTGGATGAGGGAAGGCAACGGGGCCGGGGGGTGGTCGGCGTTAAATCCGCCTCTTTTATGAAACACGAAACAGAAGAAAACTAACACCCTCACCGGTGAGTAATAAGCCGAAGAAGGCACGTGCCTCCCGAGGGCTATTTATAGAGCTACCTTAGAAGGGGGCGGAGTTAAAGGCGAAGGCGCGCCTTCAGCCGTTGGACGTCTCTCTCGCGCCCCCTTCATCTCCCCCCCCCCCCCCCCCCCCGCGGCGCCCCGGGGAAAGGCGAAAGTCCGCGATCTGTAGTAAAGTTTTCACTAAAGTGCAAGAAAGGTGTGCGGTTATTTTGGCGGGAGCCCAATAAAATAACGGAAAACATTTCAGGAACCCAGTGAGTCTGAATTACGCTTTATGCTTTACGTAAATGACATCTCCTGCTTGAGCAGGGGGTTGGACTAGATGACCTATAAAAACCCTTTCCAACTTTCCTATTCTATTCTTTATTCGATAAACAGGGCATACTGTTTCCCCATAAAATCCAGAATATACTATTTAGGCAGAGGAAATGGGGGGGGGGAAGGCGGGGAGCAGAAGCAACTGAGAAAAGAACTATTTTTGTTGTATCAATTATCAAACAATTCTGTCTATGTTCACTTGCAATTTATGGGGTTTTTTTTCATCAATACGGAGGCACTCGCTGTTTTGCACCACTGGTTTGTGCTGGATTGTACACAGGTGGGTTTAAAAGAGGGGGCAAAGGCTGTAAGTGGCTGCTAGAATTAATCACCAATGACATTTTTATTTATTTGTTACATTTATTTGCCACCCATCTCACCAAGGGGCTACTGTGGGCAGCAAATAATACTGATATAATGTCACATGACCTTGGGACACTGCAACTTTCATAAATAGATGCCAGTTGCCAAGCATGTGGATTTTGATCACGTGACTCCAGGGATGCTGCAATGGTTGTAAGTGTGAAAAATGGTCATATCACTTCTTTCAGTGCTGTTGTAAGGTCAAGTGGTCACTAAACAAATGGTTGTAGATTGAGGACTATCTGTACCATAGTCAAAGTGGAAATTTAAAAATGAACCTCCCATGGAAAGGAATTCAAAAGCCTAAGTGTAGCTGCCAAAATAGCTCTCTCCTGACTAGAATAGAATAACAGAGTTGGAAGGGACCTTGGAGGTCTTCTAGTCCAACCTCCTGCTTAGGCAGGAAACCTTACACCACTTCAGATAAATGGTTATCCAACATCTTCTTTAAAATTTCCAGTGTTGAAGCATTCACAACTTCTGGAGGCAAGTGATTAATGATTATTTGTTCTAATTAATTGTTCTAACACTAATTATTCTAACTGTCAGGAAATTTCTTCTTAGTTTTAGATTGCTTCTTTCCTTGATTAGTTTCCACCCACTGCTTCTTATCCTGCCCTCAGGTACTTTGGAGAATAGCTTGATCCCCTCTTCTTTCTGGCAACCCCTGAGATATTGGAACACTGCTATCATATCACTCCTAGTTTTCTTTTCATCAAACTAGGCATACCCACAACCGTTATTCATATGTTTTAGCCTCCAGTCCCCTAATCATCTTTGTTGCTCTTCTCTGCACTCTATTTCTAGAGTCTCCACATCTTTTTTACATTGTGGCAACCAAAACTGGATGCAATATTGGATGAAGACTCCCCCTAAATGTCTTTCAGTGGACATCTAATGATTTTAGATTTTGTTGAGATTATTTGAGTAACAGTAGCAACAGCAGTAGTACTACTAGTAGTAATAGGCATCTTAAGTGCAATTTATTTATTAGAAAATGTATACAGTTGCCCAATTTCACTCAGTGAGTCCGGCAGCTTACAAGGATAAATTTCCAATTCCAAAATATTTGGAGCACCACTTGAATACTGTTGACATTGGCAAGATCAGTCAATTGCAAAAGGCAGCGTTACTTGGAACTGTAAAGTCCTGTGATAATACATTTAACATTTTCAACATCAACATCTGCCTATCTAAGGTTCTTGGGAAGACTGTATAGGTGGCTAAAAATGCCAAATCCAGTCTGTAAACATTTGGCTGACTGTGCAACCAATCCTAATAATAATAATATCTTTAATATTATTAAACAATTTCTGCCTATCCCAGAAAAATACCATCTAAATGTAATCCTATCTAAACATTTGGTTGATGGTGATACCAACTGTAATAATTTGTTCAATTTATATGCCTCTTGTCTCTTAGTGACTCTGGGTAATTTATAGTTCTTAAAACAGCTAAAAAGAAACCACCATTAAAAAACACAAAAACAGAATAAAATGAACAAGGATGAGGAAAAAAGATAAACCCAGAGTGGAACAAAAAGGAAGAAAGGAGCACCAATCATCCTCTCCAAAGGAAGAAAGTGCAATCATTCATAGATGATAAACCTAGGTATCTGCAGAAATAGGTATGCCTGAAACTCCCACCTGTGCTTGTCAAAATGCCCAACCATGGCACAACTTAGGCATTGTAGGTCAAGGCTTCTGAACCCAGAAAATTTCCCAACCACAAACAATTGAGTCTTCCATCTATACAGGTTATCCTTGACTTACAACCATTCTTTTAGTAACCATTCAAAGCTATGATGGCATTGAAAACTGACTTATGACTGCTTTTCACCCTTATGACCATTACAGCATTTCCATGGTCATGTGATATTGCATTAATATTGCACTATGCAGTAGAATTCAACAGAGATAGAGATGCCCTGGGATAGAAGCTGTTTTTCAGAAGCCTATTTGTCCTTGTTTTTATTATCCTGTACCATCTGCCAGATGGTAATAGTTCAAAGAAAGGGTGCCCAGGATGAGATGGCTCTTTGAGAATGTTTTGAACTTTCTTAAGGCAATGGGAGCATAAAGCTCTTCCAAAGAGGGGAGAAGACAACTAATGATCCCCTGGGCAATGACGTTAACCTTCTGGAGCACTGTCCTATCTGCCCCTTGTGCAATTGGCAAACTATGCAGAGGTGCAGTAAGTTAAGATACTCTCTATGGTACATCGGTAGAAGGTCACCAGCAGTTTTTCATTCAGTTGTTTTCTGATAAGTCTCAGGTAGTATAATCTCTGCTGGGCCCTTTTGACCAGTGCTGCAATGTGGGCACCCCAGGTCAGGTCCTCTTTATGGTAACACCCAGAAACTTAAAACTGGCCACTTGCTCCACTCTGTCTCCATTGATAAGCAAGGGCTGGATGTCTGATCTATTCCTTCTATAGTCCACTATAAGCTCCTTAGTCTTATTGGTGTTGAGAACCAAGTTATTGTCTCTACACCATGAAAGCAGCCACTACTGTTGTATCATATGCAAATTCACTTAACAACTGTAGTGATTCACTCAACAGTTATGGCAAGAAGGAGCAAAATTCAACTGTACTAAGTCTTTCTGGCGAAAGGCACTTGGCTTTTAAGGCCATTCTGTTAACCCAAATTCAGGTTTCTGTCTCATACATAGATCATGAATGTACATAATGAGTGTTAATGATGCATTCAAGATCTGCCAGAAAAAAAGGGAATTATTTTAATACATTCTGCTTTGACTGTGTTTTCCTCAATAATCCTTCCTTGCCTTTCATTTAAAGAAATGTCATTCTGCAAAGAAGGATAACTGAGAAAAACACAGAGGAACAGTGTTTTGTTTCTAAATCCTTTTTTGAATACTATATAAATACTGTTGTTTGCAACAGCAGTAATACTGAATTAATGTCCATGAGACCTAAGAGGCATATTGGGTGGGCATGAAAAGGAAATATAGAATAACAGAGTTGGAAGGGACCTTACAGGTCATCTAGTCCAGGGGTCTCCAACCTTGGCAACTTTAAGACTTGTGGACTTCAACTCCCAGAGCAAAGCTGGCTGAGGAACTCTGGGAGTTGAAGTCCACAAGTCTTAAACTTGCCAAGGTTGGAGACCCTGGTTTTTCTAGTCCAACCCCTTGCTCGAGCAGGAGACCCCATACCTATACCATTTCATATAGGTGGCTGTGCAGTCTTCTCTTAAAAATCTTCAATGATGAAGCACCCACGACCTCTGAAGGCAAGCCGGATGCTTTGGAAAATAGCTTGACCCCCTCCTTTCTCTGACAGCCACTCAAACATTGGAACATTGCTATCATGTCACCCCTACTCCTTCTCTTCACACTAGCCGTGCCCAGTTCCTGCAACCATTCTTCATATGTTTTAGCCTCCAGCTGCCTCATCATCTTTGTTGCTTTTCTCTGCACTCTTTCTAGAGTCTCGACATTTTTTCTTCTTCTAAATAATGTGGCGATCAAAACGATGCAGTATTCTAGCTGTGGTCTTGCTGAAGCTTTATAAGAGTGGTATTATGACCCTACGTGATCTTGATTCAGTCCCTCTGTTAATGCAGTTTAGAATTGATTGCATTGGCTTCTTTGGCTGCCACCTCAAAAAGAAGCCGATAACTTTGAAATAAAGGACTTGTGTAAGGCTGCGGAGGAATAAAGCCGTTTTTTCTTAAAAAGAGGGTCGCGCGCAAACGGCCCGCGGGGAGCCGACTGAGTTAAAACAGTAGAGCGGGCAAGATTTCTGATGCCTAGAAAGGACCCAGAAGGAAGTATGGTTGGAGAAGGGTCTTAATCATGAAGGGACCTTCCTGTTCCAAGCGGATCTCTATAGCTAGGCACCTAGATGCCTCCCTGTGTCCACTCTTAATGAAAACAAAGCCAGTTGGGTGGGGGGAGAGCACAACCAAGTAACAAGGTTTGACATGGCTGCGCTACCAGTATCTCTCTGGACAGCCTGAAGAGAAGATGAAAGGGCTGGTGAACATGTGGGAATCAAAAGAACAATCTGGTCAGGAAATTGTTAATGACAGCAAATTGGGGTGGGAGAAGCTAAAGCTCCAGTCCATCTCATTCGCTGTATTTTTTTCAATTGTCGAAATAGCCTTCGTTTGTTAGGGGGATGGCTTTGAAATTAAAAAATAAGTGATTTGGTAAATACATTTTTCTAACAAATATATATTATGCTAGATTCGATCTATCCTATCGGATGGAGGAGAAATGCAGTTGTGTAATGAATAGAAGTTTTGTTTTGAAGGGTTGGGATTTGTGAAATATATCTATTCTGTAAGGGAATTTGAGGGCATGAAGAAACTTTAGCAAATATGTGCCTGTGGGAGGGAGGGAGAGAATCATTTTGGGGACTCTGGAGACTTACATTTTTCTTTTTCGAGACAGAATTTCACAGACATCTGCATTCACCATATTAAAGAAATTTGGTTTTTCCTCCCCAGAATCAGAATTCCTAGGAGCTAACTTGCAGTTTTCCCACATGGAAAGTGGAAAACAAGCCTATGTTCTGGACTTCCAGGACTGTAGTGGAAGAGAAACATTAAGAGGTGAGGAATAAATTGAACATATGTCAGTAAGCGTGTGCTGTGACTTGTAATTCTTATTTTAAATATCATTTTTGCTTTACAGTATTAACTGTCCCTAGCCTAGTCACAATTTCTTAATAGCTTTTTAAAAATATATTTATATTGGGCAAAAACCTTTAACTCAGATTTACCATAGAAGAATGTTGGCATAGATCTTGGATTCCGATAACAAGATTTGAGTTAGTTTTTTATACTTTTAAGTGTAAATGTACTTCTAAGTTTAAATCATTATATTTGCTTTTAATATATTGCTGCTTAAAGATATTTTATTGGGACTGCTGCTTTTATTACATTAAATGAATGTGTGTGTGTGTTTGTGCTCGTTTTCTGTTCTTTTCGAATGTAGTTTGATTTTACTCTGCTGTCTTAGAAAACCTCAAGAGTATCATAGAGCTTTAATAAATAAATACATGCTTCCCCCACCCCAACTTGTGATTCACAGCCAAAGTTACTTTACAGTTATCTCTTTCTTTGAGGCTTCAAATATTAAATCTCTATGCACTTTATGGGAGAAATTCCAGACACTTAGTATACCATTTAAAGAAACTCTTTCTTTGTTTCATTGCAAAGTACAGGAAACAAATTTTGCTGGTTTTGTCTCACTAACAAATATGATAATTGTTAGCATAATAAGAATGCTGTTAATAAGAATGAAAATGAAATTCTATCCTGAAATTGTTTCCTATATTTTTGCACTATGTTTCAGAGCTAAATTCTACTTCATTTCAAATCTTATAGAGATTCTTCTAGATATGGATGGACAATATATTTACATTTTTAAACATTTCTATGTTTTACAAAGATCCAAGAAAATTTATATACAATCTTCATAACTTAAATGGGAAAGTCAGTTAAATAAACTTCTGATATCTAAATTAACCTCTACGCATTCTCTTACCTAGTGTGGGTTTAAAGCAGTGTAAATCAGGAGTGAACTTAATTTTGCAAAAATCCTTTGAGTTTGCCATCAATTATTTTAAGATATAATCTGCTTTCCAAAATTAACATACAGTAAAAAGCTCAAATTTATTTGGATAGAATGAGATTAAACTGGTAATATAACTTCTGACTGTAGGTATTGAAATGACACATGAAAACAAAGAAGAGGAAGCAGAATCACAGAACAAACAGAAAGAAGACCAACAAATGCAACATAGAAACTCCCCAGTGAAAGGAATAGCATATCATCAGATGGAAAGCACGCAGCATGAGGTCTGTAACGGTGAATCTATCATATCTCTGGAACAGGAATCTACAGATAATTTTTCTGACAACGACAAAATGCTCAAAGCTACAATTTGTCCTGACTGTGGGAAGAGCTTTAGTAACAGCTCCCACCTAATCCGTCACCGTCGCGTCCATACAGGTGAGAAACCATACAGATGCCCCCATTGTGACAAAAGTTATCGACAAGACTCTCACTTAGTTCAGCATATGCGTTCTCATACAGGTGAGAAGCCATACCGGTGCACACATTGCGGCAAGGGCTTCTCCCAGAGTTCCAATCTCATCATCCACCAGCGGACACATACAGGCGAACGACCCTTCACCTGTCCAGAGTGTGGGCGGAGCTTCAGCCATAGTTCTGATCTCATTCAGCACAAGCGGATCCACACCGGGGAGAAGCCTTACGTCTGCTCCATCTGTGGAAAATGCTTTTCTCAGAGCTCAAAGGTTACCCAACACAAACGCTTCCATTCTGGGGAACGTCCATTTTCCTGTGGGGAGTGTACCAAAACTTTCCGTCTCCGGGCTGATTTGGTCCGTCACCTCCGCGCTCATACCGGAGAGCGGCCTTTTGGCTGCCCTGAATGCGGGAAACATTTTGCAGAGAGCTCCCATCTTATCCGACACCAGCGGATCCATATGAGCGAGCGTCCCTTTCGCTGTCCAGACTGTGGGAAAGGATTCAATCAGAGCTCCAACCTCCAGCAGCATCAGCGGGTACACCGAGGCCAGAAACTCTTCAAATGTGATGAGTGTGGGAAAGGTTTTGGCGTAAGCTCTGCACTCTTGCAACACCAGCGAACTCACACCGGTGAACGACCCTACTGCTGTAGCCAGTGTGGGAAGAGTTTCAGTGTCAGCTCCACTTACCATATACACCAGCGTATTCATGCAGGGCAAAAGCCCTACTCATGTGGAGACTGTGGGAAAGGCTTTGTGCGTAGTTCTGCTCTCCTTCAGCATCAAGCAACTCATACTGGTGAGAAGCCCTTTCGATGCCCCTATTGTGGAAGAGGGTTTGGACAGAAATCAGCACTTTCTCAGCATCGGCGAGCCCATGTGAGGAGAGGGGAGACATTGACTTTGATGGAAGGTTGGGAAACAGCTGGGATGGAAGAGGTTGGGGACCAGGGAGTGGGAGGGGAAGCACATAGCCTGTGGCAGGGGAACGGAATAGGGATTATGGAGCCAGAATGGCAGGGTGTTGGGGATGAGGCCACAAGGCAGGAATGGGAGGATGACGGGGATGAGGCCATGAGGGTGGAGTGGCAGGATGATGATGAAGGTCTGGAGCAACAGTTGCAGGATGATGGCAGAGAAAGCATGAGGCAGACCTGGAAAGATGGTGTGGAATCCTCCATGAGGACAGAGTGGCAGGACGATGAGGGTGAACAACTGGAACGGGGATCACAAGGGGATTGTATTGAAAGCATGAGGCTGGAATGTCAGGAGGAGGAGGAAGAGGAGGAGGAGGATGACGATTACAGGAGGGTGGAGGAGAGCTTCCAGGATGACAATCTGAGTATCAGGCTAGAGTGTCATGATGAAGAAGATGGTGAAAGTGTATTAGAATACGTACAAGGTGATAGTAATTCAAATATCAGGGGAAAAGGTCAGGACAAGATCACAAAGCACGACTGGCAGGATGATAGAGGCGAAAGCATAAGGGAAGAATGGGAGAATACTTTAGATAATTTAAGGCAGGGAAAATTGATTGAGGAACAGGAATGGCAGGACAGCGAAGATGATAGTGAGAAGCACAGTTGGCTAAGAGGTGGGGAGGACAGCTTGGAGAGAACAAGACAAAAGTCAGAGACTGAGTCACTCTGCTGAAGCTGAGGAGCTTAAGGAATTCAAATTATTGACTGGGTTATAGTTGAAGAGAGTAGAATGCCTACAACACTCTTATAATAGCTCAAACCAGCAAGTCATCAAAACTTATCGAGGTCAAACAGCAGAATCATACCTTGATGCAAAGCGGTCGTATCCTTCTGCAACAAATATAGTTGTATTTATATTTGTAGGGTACTCTATGGTGTCTACTCTCCACTTGAATATGTCCCTCACTCCAGTCCCTGCATGCCTGTGCTACAGAGCGCTGTGTGGTGGCTGCCTTATGGTCAAGCTGTATGATCCGGCTGCCTGTATCATTCCAAGCCTTGTGCCGTTTGCTGATCAAAATAATTCCAAAGGGTGATTTTAGTCAGTCCATTTTTAAACGTTACACGACCTATGTACATGCTGTATTATACTTCACAATCCAGCCCAAGTTTTGTTTTAAAAAAAGTTTCACAACACTTCCAAGGTAAGATGCCTTTTTTATAAATAAGTGGGTGCCTTTCCTTACAGTGGCAATTCTTGCTGGATTCCAGGAGTTGATTTGGGAGAAATTTTCCTTCAATTCAGTCTATAAACTTTGAAATAATTGACTTAGGAAGTTGGGATGGGGTGGGGGGACAAAAAAAGATAATACAGATGTTTTATTTTCATAATTGTTACTTAGGAACCCAGCAGAATGTGGGAACACTGTAAGACTCCAATATTTAACTAGAACAGCTTTTGAAACCGCTGTTGCATGCTCTGAATCTCTCCCAACTATAGTTATTTTTGTAACGTTCTAATCCTTCTCTCTTTTCTGTGTCTCCCTCTGCTGAACTAATAAATGCTCTTTTTGATTCCACTCAAGCACCCTGCATTCTTTTAAATTGAGCCAGGATTATTACTCAGCATATTTTAAATCAATTCCAAGACGCTTGCATATAACTTGCATATGTATATACACTGAATGCTTAAGCTTAATTTCCCCCCACCCCCCACCCCAAAAAAGAAGCAACACAGCTAACCTCTTTTCAAAGTTAAGGGAAATTCATTAGTGATTTGTGATATATGGAAATTCTGGATATGTGAACTTTTTTTGGTTCTGCAAAATAGATTTCATTTATTAAGGTAAAAATTATCTAAGACATTTATTTTGGCCACCGACTATGAAATTATTAACTATTGTAATTTTACTTTTTCACATAACTGTTAAAGATTTTCGGAAAAAGTTACATTATAGCAAATACATTACCAAATTACATATTTAAGAAAGCCCTTACTGTAATATGGTGAGGAAAGTAGAAATTCAAAAAAATTTCCCAAAAATATTTTAACAGATTAAAAATAAATGCAAAAGTGATCAATAGAAAGTTCAAACAATGCCAGAGTTTGAAAGCCATATAAGTTTGATGACACACACTGCCTTTTTTTTTTAATTGGATCCTTACAGATTCTGTTCTCCAAATTTTCTGATGGCAGAATGCTTTACTATTTCCAAGGGCTTAGCCAGCAACAGATTGTCATTTGTTACCCTTCTTGTTTTTTGTTTCTATGTTTGGGGGTGGAGGTTCCCATCCCTTATTATGTTTCCTTTCATATTAAACATGGGAAGAAATATAAATCAAATTAAGAGTATTTAGAGACATCCTGCAGGGCGATAATGGTGCCTAAGATGGTGAAGCTCCTGACCAGGGTTCAAGCCATTCTGTCTTTTCTCCTCCCATTCATTTGAGAATTGCTAAAATAAGGATTTTAGACTCTGGTAAGAAAGCTGAAGTGATAACTGGTGGTTGGATTTGGCCCTTGTAATCTCCAAGGGGAATTAATGTGGTGGAATGTAGTCTGGATTCTGAGGTGGGAGGGACTGCATTCCAGAGGACCGAGAGACAGCAAAGTTTAGATAGTTCGATTGGGAGGAAGAGGCTGAAGGTAGCAACTTGGAGTATATCTTTATTGATGCTAGTAGTTTGCTTTAGTGTGGCAAGATTTCCACACACTGTCCATAGATGAGGAATAATAAAGGAAATGCTTTGGAGTAACTCAGCACATCTTTCTTGGTTTTGGAGCTTGACATTTACTTCTCTAACTGTCTGTTGGTACTTACTGTCCAGAATTCCAGAGAGTTTCTTTCATCCCTTGCCAAGTGGGGTAGGTAGAATTCAGACAATTCCCCTTTTAAGTCTTACCCATTTCTACTGTGCAACTGATAAGACAAACAAAGGCCAAAATCCAAAAATCTATATTCTCTAGAAAATAATCTCACGACAGTACGCACACAAAACAGCAGATTTGTCTCAGATCAAGGGACTAGTAGAGAAAACAGACAAACACATTTGCCTGCCTGCATCTTGTTCTGGTCCTCTCATCATGTGTACCTGCCATCTGCCTCGGTAAACACATATTATCACTTTTTTTCTAAGATGGCCAGTAGAAGCACTTGAAATAAATTCAACAATAGCTTTTTTAGTTTCTGAAAGGAAAAAGGAAGTCTTCATTACCAGCATCACAGTCACCTGGCTCCCACTTCCCCCCGCCCCCCCCCCCCCAATACTCCTCCTCCGCACACACTGAACATTTAATAACAAATAGCTATAGTCTCTGGAGAGAAACATTATTCGATCATTGGGTCTCATTTTCTGAATTCAATGGTTCTGTAAGGAGTTTGCTTGGGTTCTCTTTCTCGGTCTTAGCACCTTCTTTCTCTGCACCATCTTCTAGATTGTCAGCTGCTTGTACAGCATTCTCATGTTCTTCAAGTTCTATCTTCTGTTTATAATTCCGTTTGAAGAATCCACACTGTAATGCAAAGTAAGAAAAGCCATTACAAGCAGTAATTAGGTAGGGAGACCCAGCCTCAGTTTTGAATTGATAAGGAGAGCCAGTTTGATCTAATAGTTACACACCAGGCTAAGAAAGTAGGAGACCGTGAATTCTAGTCTTGCCTTAACCAGGAAAGCCAGCTCGGTGATTTTGGGCCAATCCCTTTTTCTTAGCCCAAGTTACCTCACAGAGTTATTGGGGGAGGGGGGCAGGATAGAAGGAGGAAGGTGTATTGAATGTGTTCGCCACCTTGAATTATTCGTAAAAATAATAAAAATGGGATACAAATAAATACCTTCACTGCTTATAATTATTTGTAAAAATAATAAAGGCAAGAAACAAATAAATAAATAGAGGCATGTCCTGCCTTCCAGACAACTTCCATTTTTACAGCCTCAATTTTTAATATAGGATGATGAACATTAAATATTGTTCATAGTTTATCAGATGACATTTTCTTTCCAGTTATGTACATATGTTAAAGGACCAGACAAATCCTTTTGGTCTAGATTTGCTTATTTATTTATTGGTAGTTTGCTTGCTTATTTGTTTATTGGAAGTGCTTTAATACTCTTTAATTAAAAATCTAAAAGATCTAAATAGTTTGACAGTTCATGCCAACAATCTGTGCAACATTTGTGAGGTAAACAGTTATACATAAGCTATCTCACAGAAAGATTGTTAGAAATGGAATTTATGTTGTATGTTGCAAACGAAATTTTTTTTAAAAAAAAGTTCTACAAACAGAAATACAGTTAGCCCTTTACAGAAAGCCATTTAGTGACCATTCAAAGTTACTACAGCACTGAGTGAATGACTTATGATCATTTTTCAACTTAATTATCATTGCAGGATCCTCATAGTCATGTGATCAAAGTTCAGGTGATTTCCTTATCAGGAACTATTGGTGCTACTATCAGTATCATTATTATTGTTATTATTGTTAATAATATTTCTATTAGTAATGCTATTACTGTTATTGTGCTAGTGCCATTATTGTGATTATTACTATTGTTATTGTTATTACTAGGATTGAAATCACTAGTATTATTAGTACTATTATATTTATTATTATTATTACTCTTAATCTATCCCGCTAAGTATTAGGACAATATAGACAACAAAAGAAGTGGTTTAAAGAGAAGATTGAAGTGAGATTAGATTGACATATTTTGGTTAATATTGACAGCTCAATTGTGATTGAGCAATGGAAGGTTATATACATGTAAAAAAAAGGTGGGAGTGTTGGAGGAAAAATAATCTTGTGCAAAAATTGTTAAAGCACTACGAATCTAACTAAGATTGGGAAAGGGAGGAAACCAACCAGCCAGGCATTGTTGCCTACCTCCAGCCTGTCCAACCAGAGGTCAATAGAAGATATGATGCAAAGAGAAAGGTCAAATTAATTTAAAGATCTGCAGGCTATGCTACAATCAATGCAGGAAGCTATGACCAGGAACCACAATGAAATGAAGGAAGCGATAGGAGAGGTAAGAAACAACACAGGAAAACTCAAAGAAAAAATGCAAAAGATGGACCAAAAATTTGAAAGTTTTCAACAACAGATTACCAAAAATGTACAGAAATTACAGAAGAGAGAAGAGAGAATGGACAAAGAAGAAAAAAGAGTAGATGAAATAAAAGATAAATTAATCCAGACAAATAAGGAATTAGAAACCACAGTAATTCTGGAATCTGATAAAGCAGCACACTACTTGCGATTCCAGAACATGAGAAGAAAATGGAGAAGATTTACCAGATAACATGGCAGAGGTAATAGCAAAGGCACTAGGAACAGAGAAGGACGAAATGCTGACAGAAATAGATGAGATGTACAGAATTCATACGAACTATGCGAGGAGGCACAATCTTCCAAAGGAGGTGCATGCACGTTAGATTTGTGAAGAAATCTATTCGAGACAAAGTGCTTCATAGGACAAGAGATGAACCAATAGAGTACAATGGATAGCAACTGGTAGTTCTCAAACAGATTCCAAGAAGAATCAGAGAGTTGCAAAGGCCATATCAATTTTTAACATCATTGTTGACCAAATATAACATCAATTTTAGATGGCTGACTCCTGAAGGTATTCTAGTCTCATGGCAAGAAAAGAGATATAGAGTGGATACACTGGAAAAAGCGGAGGAATTTTATAATCAACACTTCAGAAATGAAGAGTAAGCAGAAGAGAGGGAAGTAATAAAAGAAAGGGACCAAAGAATACGTGCTATGGAAGAAAAGGAATTACACTAAAGGAGAGGGAAAAAGAGAAAGAAGAAAGACCAGAGAGCAATGAGAAAAGATTCAAGGAACTGAGAGAGCTTAGAACAACAAGGAGTATAAGACCTAGATATAGGTGGAGAAATGCAAGAGAGTTTAAGATCCTATCACTGAATATTAATAGACTGAATTCCTCCTTGAAAAGGAAGAAAACTCAAACTACAAAGATTGAATTTAGATATAGTACTACAAGAAGTTCATATAAAAGAACAACATAAACAATTACTGGAATACCCCAAATTGGGGAAATTATTTGTATCATTATCACAACAAAGGAAGAGAGGGGTAGTGCTATTATATACCAAGGAAACAATTCAGGCTAAGCAAATTTGAGGAGGGAAGGATTCTGATTGTGGAAATAATACTAAATGGAAATGGGTTTTATTAGTCAAAAATTATGCACCAAATAGGGTACAAGAATAATTCTACAAAAAATTACTTAACATTATTTGTGACATAGAGTGTGACAATCTTTGCATTTTATGAGATTTTAATGCAATAATAGATAAAAAAATAATTACAAAAGTAACAAAATAAGGAAGGGAATTAGAAGAATACTACCTAGAACCTTTTTCAAAATGGTAGAAGAGTTAAATATACAGGATACATGGAGAGAGAGGAACCAGGGGAGGAATCAATATACATACTATTCTAACAGACACCAATCCTGATCTAGAATTGACATGGTATGGATGTCAATGGAACTAAACTCTGAAATAAACGAAGTAGAACTAGATACAAACCTCTGGGCAGATCATAACCCAATGAGAATTAGTTGGAAAGGACAAAAGAAAAGTATAATATTGACTCTAAACTGATTGATCCTAAAAGGACAAAAATTTAGACAGATGGTGGAAAAATAAGTGGGATTCTTTTTTAAAGAAAGCAAGAAAGAAGACACATCCTTACAAAATCTATGGGATACAGTGAAAGCATATATGAGGGGAGTTGCCATATCCTATATGGCAAAGGAAAACAAAAGGAAGAAGCAATGACAGAAAGATTTAGAATACAGAACACTCGAAGCAGAGTTACAAAAGGAACCACAAAAAGGAAACCTAAAACAGCAAATGGATTTAACCAAACATAAATTGAACATCCTCGAAAAAGAAGATCTGGCACAACACATAAGGGAAATGAACCAACACTTTTTTGAGAACGCAAACAAGCCAGGGAGGTGGTTAGCTTATAAACTGAAGAAACAGAAAGAGAAAAAATGGATAAATAAATTGCAAGATGAAAATGGAAATATATGTTATCAAAGCGAGGGGCAAAAGTACATAATTCAGGATTTTAACAAGGAACCATATAACGACAATGCTATACAGAAGAAAAGGCACTACAATGCTTAGGAAAAGACGATTTATCTAAAGTCCCAGAAGAAATAAAGCTATGATAAATGAAGACATAAAAATGCCAGAAATAATAGAGGCAATTAAAAAACAAAAAAATTACCAAACCAATGGGTTACTGACAGAAATATATAAAGAATTGCAAGATACTCTAGGCCAAACATTATTAGAGGTATACAATGCAGTCCTAATGTCAGCGAAGATACCAGCATCATGGATGAAAGCTAACATCACATTGATCCTGAAAGAAGAGGCTGATAGAACATTAATTAAAAATTATAGGCCCATTTCCCTACTGAATACTGATTATAAAATATTCACATCAATAATATCTGAACAATTGAAAAGTTTCCTGAATGAGTTTATACACATTGACCAAAATGGTTTCTTGCCCAAAAGACAGATAAGAAACAACATGAGAACAATATTAGACATACTGTAATATTATGAAATACAAAATGCTCAAAAGGCGTTTGATAATGTGAAATGGAAATTTATGTTACAACAATTAAGATACATGGATTTTGGCAATAAATTTATAAATATGTTTACAGCAATATACTTGAAACAGAGGGTCAAAGTAATAGTGAATGGCAAGGTGACACAAAATTTTGCAATCCAGAAAGGTATAAAGCAAGGCTGTCCATTATCTCCGTTACTGTTTATTCTAACATTGGAAGTACTAATGAGGATCATTCGGAAAGATGAGCAAATTAAAGGACTGAAAATTAAAAGAGAAGAATACAAATTACAAGCCTTCGCAGATGACCTAGTTTTTGTTTTAGAAGAACATTGCAATCAGGCCAGAGACTTATGGAGGAATTGGAGGAATATGGAGAAGTAGCCAGACTAAAAATAAATAAGGAAGAAACCAAAATGATAACCAAGAATATGACAAACAGAAGGATGAATTGTCAAAAGGAATACACATTCATATAGTGAGGAAAGTGAAGTATCTAGGAATCTATTTAACTGCAAGGTGTATAACAAAGAGGATAATTACATTAACAAATCAAATAAAGGTGGATCTGGAGAGATGGAAGAATTTGCAACTCTCCTTAATGGGCAGAATAGCTGCAATAAAAATGAATATTGTGCCAGAGATCCTTTTTTAAATTTCAAAATATACCTATAAAATTAGAAAAATATTTTGAGAATTTGAATAAAATAATGTCAAAATTTATATGGCGAGAAAAGAAACTGAGAATTAAATTGAAACTATTGCAAGAATCAAAAGAAAAAGGAGGGTTTGTATTATCAAGTTGCAACACTTACATGAGTAAAAGAGTGGATAACCCTAAGGAATAGGAGATTACTAACGGTGGAGGACCACAATATTCAATTAGGGTGGCATGCATTCCTTTGGTATGGAAGAAACACGGCAGATCAATATTTCCAAAGGCACTACATAAGACATGCTATATTGAAATAAAATGAAATAAAATCAAACAACAAAACTATATGAAAATACCAGTCTGGCTTTCCGTTCTGGAAGCGCTGGTACATCCAAATCTTATAAATATGGGGAAAAATTGTCTCATACAAGGACATATTAAACGAAAAAGGTGAATTGAAAACTAGACTAGAACTAAAAGAACAAGGGATGAAATTGGAGTGGTGGTCATATACCTACAAATACAATCATGCTATGAGAAGGATGTGAAAGTGTGGGGTATCAATAGAGAATTGATGATACTAGACAAATTATTAGCGGGGATGGATGATAAATTGATAAAGGTAACTTATAAATATCTACTAGACTATAAAATGGAGGAAGAACAAGTTAAGGAGACAATGGTGGTATGGGCCAAAAATTTTGGATACAACATTGAACTGGATAGTTGGCAAAAACTTTGGGAAAGAAACAGGAAATTAACATTGGCCACATCATACAAAGAGAATTTGTATAAAATGTTTTACAGATGGCATCTTCCCCCAGCAAGATTGACTAAAATGTTTAGCAATACATCCCCGAAATGTTGGAAATACAAACAACTACCAGGCACATATTACCACATGTGGTGGACTTGCAAAAAAGCAAGGGAATTTTGGCAACAGATCCAGATGTGGTTAGAAAAAATGGTTGGATATTTAGAATTCAAACCAGAACTATTTTACTAGGAATTACAACAGAGGGCTATAATAAAGGGTCAATATATCTAATATTACACATTCTGACAGCAGCGAGAATGGTATATGCCCAGCAATGGAAAAATGAAAATACATCGTCAGAAAGGGAGATAATAAAGAAAATATTTGTTTGCGCAAAATTGGATAGACAATGTTAGAACTAAAAAAACAAAGGGGAGACAGAATATTGCGACATATGGAACAGATTTTACCAATGGTTGGAATTGAGAGGTGGGAGTTGGAACATGAAATAATTAGGCTTAGTAGACCCGGAATATGACACTATATATGTACCAAAATGAGTATATTGGTCAAAAACAACTGTACAAAACTAGCAATGTATAAATAGTACATATGTTATTTGTCTTTTATTTTAGTGTGTAAGGCGGAAGAAACGCCAGGATGGTCACATTGTGTTCAATAGTTATATATGTAAATAATAAAATATATATATTAAAAAGTTCAAGCGCTTGACAACTGGCATGTATTTATGACAATAGCAGTATCCCAGGGTCCTGTGACCAACTTCTGGGACTTTTTGACAAGCAAAGTCAATGGAGAAATCAGATTCACTTAACAACCATGTTGCTAACTTAACAACTGTGGTGATTCATATAACAACTGTGGCAAAAAAAGGTTGTTAAATGGGGCAAAACTAACTTAACAGCTATCTTGCTTAGCCATAGAATTTTTTCATTTCAGTTGTATTCATACATCAAGGACTATATGTAATCTAGCCCTAAATAATAAAATTACTAGAGGCTGATGGTCTCTAGTGGGAAATGTAAACACTCATTTTTTATGTATGAAACTTAGTTTTACTGGATAGTATAAAACTAGCTAAACAATCCTTTTAAAATCAAATGGGTTGAAATCTGATTCATGTCATTGATCTATATACCCAGCTGAAGAACATTTTTGAGAGCTGTTCTGAGCAGTGCATAAGGCCACATTTTATAATTCCCAAGTTTCTGCCCTAGGAAAGATCTCATCCTAATATAAAAATTACTAGCTTAGACCTTAGTGTATTCTCCAGTATGCTTTTGGGAGAGCCCAGGGAAAGCAATGAGCTATTGGTCATCATTGTGGAAATGTAACATTATTATTTTAAAAATGGATGAAATGCTATAAAAATACAAATGTTTTTTCTCTCTTCTCCTGAGATATATTTCAGGAAAATCTAAATACCAAAAAGCAGACCACAAGCATGCTGTTCTTCTGATTAAATTTCTTTTCGAACTTTAGTAAGTTTGAAAAACTTAAGTAAAGTGGTAGAGCAGCTAGATCAGATTTAAATCAGAACAGTCTTAAAAATTTAAGAATTCCAATCATACTTTCTTGGATGTGTGAAACAATTTTCCATGCCAGAGACAACATCAACAATAATTGGAAACAATTGGGAAATTATCCCCGCTCAGTGGTACAGTCCACACTTTGCAAAAGATCCTAGGCTTAATTTCTGACATCTCAAATAATCCTAGCTGAAACTAGCTTGACAATATACTTTGGACATTATAAAGTAATGATGGATGAGTTGAATAATTTTTGAATGTTGGCAATGCTAGTTTGTAATATTACTGATCAAATCATTTTTTAAATCCAATTGAGCAGAAAGAGCCCACTTTCAGGTCCTCAGAATTGCACTGGATTTCTGAAATAAAGTAATTCTCACCTTGTAAAGTACTATAATGCAGAGAATAAGCAAGCACAAGCCTCCAATGGCGCTGCCTATTATAATTGGGAGATAATTCATCATAATTATCACCTCTATTTCTGTGACCTGTAGGGCATATAAAAGAAAGGAGAAAAAAGAAAGAAAGGGAGGCATAAAGTCACAATCGTATCTTTACAGCCAGTGAGATCCTATAAATAAACATTTAAAACTGGCATATGGCCATCTTTTCTCCATTGAAGTTTTATTAAGCAGTTGCTTTAAAAACAATAGCTAACAGATGAAGTCTTCTTCCTGTTTAGCTGAAGATTCTGATAATGCAAACTTTATTATCTCATAACATTTTCCCTTCTGTTCTCCTCAATTTATTATTATTAATATTTGACCTTTCAATTCACGCAGTAACTTAAAAAAGTAGTTAAAAATCCCCCAGAACACCAATTCTGGAGGTGTGCTTGAACATACTCTGTAATAATGTCTGAAAATGAAGGAGATTTGGAGGATCTTGAATGTTTTATCCAATTGTTTGTGTTTTTTTATTGGTTCTAACAAAACCTACTTGCCAATTAGATTTCGGATTGTATTTGAAGAGATGATACGGTTTATTCAATACAGGAGGTGAAATTAGTAGATTGCATCAAAGCTTGGTTTGGTCAGTTGACCATATTATAATAAAGAATAAAATTAAATAAATTTAAAAGTGTTCTGCAACCTTTATGTGAACCTTCCGACTCAGGGTTCCCCAACCTTTTTGGCTTTGCAGACTGGCAGGGAGGGGGAGGGGAGAAGGTTCCATGTGTGTAGCGGACAAGCACATGCATGCAGCTCCATTTGCAAACGCAGTGGACACCTATGCCTGCCACTTTTGCAGCCCAATTCTAAAAGGCTCAAGGCCCATTAGCGGGCCGTGGCCCTGGTAGCTGGGGACCCCTGTTGTGAATAGCTCTGAGAACTTCCAGTCTAAAATACATGGATTGGCTGAAGGAATATTGTATCAGAAAAGATAATGATACCATAAGATTTTAATATCATAAGAATATAGAAAATTCTTAGAGAAGGGGGGAAAGAAATGATTCCAGTCACAAACCCACCTGAACCTGAGCAAATTCATGACTGTAGATATTTTTGTATCTTCTGGTATCAAATTCAACCCACAAGGCTGTGCGAAGCTGGGTCTGAAGAGAGTGCTGACAAGATAAAAGGATAATGAAGTTTACATTGCATCAGGCAGCATAAATCACACAACGAATATGCTAGTTTTTATCAAAGCAAATCATTTGCTTTCAAACATGTGGGTGCAAGAACTAAATTCAAAGTCTTTGGGAGTTCAAATAGCCCGCACAAAAAAGTTTGTGTTTGCTTGAGGTTTTTAATTAGATGGAAAGCCATGTTACTTTATGGTATCCCAAAATTGGAGGCTGGTAACACCTCATAAGTAAAATCTGCTAATCATAAAACATACGATTTTGTTATGAAGTAACTACAGTCACTTCATCAAATGCAATGTAGATGGAAAGGAGGAAACAGGATTATGTGAGGCAGATTACAGGTACTGTATGAATGAACAACTGTAACATGTTCAAAATCCATTAACACATCTGTGATTCTCAGAGGTAGTTAGAAAACTTGAATCTATCTAACCATTTGATGTCCAGCAATTTATCACTCAGTTGTGCTGGCAATTGTGTTCCTATAGTATGCTAAGCAAAACCAAACAAATCATAACGAAATAACAGGTTATTTTAAAACCTGGATAATGTCATGACATAAGGATAGCTAAATTAGATATTTACTCCCATCACAGACTCTTTCCTAATACTTCATCTCAGTTTTTTGTAGGTCTGTATTTTCTTTCCTTTGCAATCCACACACTTCATGAATGTCCTTGCCTACTGAAATATTCAGACATCTATTAGATGAGGGAAACATACAATTTCCCATTCTCCAAGTTTCAGGTATAAGAAATGGGGTTAGAAACCATTATTAATTATGGAACTGTTTTTACCTCTGGTTTGCTTTGTGTAGACATCATCCCAGTAACATTGATCGTAGAGGAATTTATCTGTCCAAGATCACATTTGTAGATAAGATATTCATCAACTTCCCAGTGCTAGAAAGTAAACAGTGCATTTAAAGAAATGCTCCACCTGCACCCATCATCTTTTTTAGGAATTGTTAGATTTCTTAAAATGGCAGTTTATTTTGATCAAATTAACATTCCCATAGATAGCAGGCCTCCTGATATATTGCCCTTGAAAATAATCATATTGCAAAAGAAGACGGTGGAAGACATTTTTGGATCATAGCCCTGTCCCAGGCTGGTAAGAAGAAATTGTTTCTTACTATTTCTTCAAAAGATAAATCAGACAGTAGAGTACTTTCTGGTGTTCCTTCTTCCATTAAGATGGGAATAATTTCTTGGGGAGCTAGTTGTTTTAATGATCAAGCAATTCCATGATGAATCACACCATTTATATAAAATATTTAAGAAACTGGCTATGCCCCAAATGATCTACACAAATAAAAATAAGAAGATAACTGATGGATGATACAATTCCAGAAAGATTTCAGTACATTTCACTCTATTCATGTGTTCCTAGCATAAAATGCCCAGTTCATTCAAGAAATCCATTTGGATGGAAGAAGCTGAGGTGATTTAGTTAAATTCTCTGAAGTAGGTCTCTATATTCATAGGGAATCTTCCTAATTCTTCATGTTCTTTATCTTGGAGGGACTAGAATAGTATCTTCTGTGTCCTTTAGAATAGTTTACTACTTTTGAGAGTGTCGTAAACATTCAGCTTTTTCTATCAAATGGATTTCTTGAATGAATGAGTCTTTGCTAGGAACAGAAGAAGAAATTAGTTCAAAATTAGATACACATTAATTCTTGAATAGCTGATTATTAAGCACAATTCAAAATGAAGTTGCTCATTCTTAGACTTCCTTCCTTCCTTCCTTCCTTCCTTCCTTCCTTCCTTCCTTCCTTCCTTCCTTCCTTCCTTCCTTCCTTCCTTCCTTCCTTCCTTCCCTAACAACTTTGTTTATTTGTCTCTACCAACCTCTGTTATCCAAATATCTCCCCTAACCCCAAAATACTCACCTTACTATCTCTAACCCAGTGTCTAACTTCCAGATTCCTATGAAGATTCCTAATTCCTATGAAGTGAATTTCCTTTGTTTCTTCAAAGTTCTGCTTGGAGCCTACCTCTTCCATCAAACCTTTAACCTACTACCTTAGTTTCCAAAGTTACCTAAAACAATGGGTAAGTATCAGCACACAAGAGTTATCAGTTCTTTCCTGAGAATCTTACATCATCTAGATATGAAATAATAGCTGAGAGTTATGTGAAAATTATTCTTAGATTTCCCAGATGTCTCTGAATATGAACTTGGTCCAGGAAGGGTTTTAATCCTAAAATTATGCTTGCAGTATTTTTCATGTGCACACATATAATCCACTCCTGACTGTCCTCCATCTCAGCATAATTTGGAGGGACAAATTCTGTCTTTGGGTTATTATTGTTAAAAGAAATTGAGTTGGCAATCAGTAAAGCCCATTCTACCCTCTCCTATTCCTAATATACTGGACTCAAGGCTATTTCAGTGAAATAAGTACAGGTAGCCCTCGACTTACGACCACAATTGACCCAAATTTTCTGTTGTTAAGTGAGTCATTTGTTAAGTGAGTTTCCCCCCATTTTATGACCTTACTTGCCACAGTTGATAAGTTAGTAACCCAGTTGTTAAGTGCATCTGGCTTCCATATGAATTTTGATCATGTGATCGTGGGGAATGCTGCAAAGGTCATAACTGTGAAAAACGGTCATAAGTCACTTTTTTCAGTGGCGTTGTAACTTTGGTCAATTAACAAACTGTTGTAAGTCGAGGACTACCAGTACCTGTTTTTCTTTGGTTTATCTGTGCTTCCTTTTCTCTTTCATCTCCCAGCTGTTTTTTATATAACATGAACCATCCAGTCCATCTTGCCCCTGTACAGCAGCATATTTTTAATTCCTTAATAATATTACATCATATTTAGAGACAGAAGCTACCTTAATTAACATGGGATAATTCCTTGTGGTCTTGTTATGATCATCAGGCTGGCAATTCACATTAGGATCCTGAAAAAAAACCCAACTATTCCACGTTATTGTCATGCAAAACGTATAACATCAAACAGATGGCTGAAATGGGCAGTGTTATTGCTGTGACTTAAAGCAGCAAGATGCTCCAGAGGCTGCTGCATCAAAATCTTTAACTTATTTTAGATTTCCTAGACAGCAGGCCTTCAGAGAATTACTGAAAGATTTTTAAAAAGTTTGTAAACTACAAAGTGAAACTAAGATTCCCCCCACCTCAATGTTTCTCCAACTTGAAGGTGGGTGGGCTTTTACTCCCAAAGTTCGCCAGCCAGAAACACTATTCTACATTAATCCACCCTAAGAATGTTTTTCATTCTTGAGTATGCAGGAAATAAGATAGCCTCAGATTATCTGTCATGATTATCGAGTAAACATTAAAGACATTAATTAAGGACATAATTAGGTCGGAACATAGTATGAGACTGGAGGTTATACAGGAACCATTGCAGTGATCTGAAAAGGAGGTTCAAAATATTGGCTACTTGTCTGTGGTACAAGCAGACAAAGTAAATTGTAAACTTTTTAATATGAAAAGGTATGCCTGAATCGATTATGTCAAATATGCTGTGTTATCCACCCTGCCTTTGTAAACTTGGACATTATTTTTTCCTCCTGTAATTCCTAACACACTTGTATTTTTTAAAAATGACATTAACACTCTTTGCCTTAGACAAAATCATTTAAAGATAAGGATATCTCAGGGAAGATTCACAGTATTCTTTTAAGAATTTAAATGTGTCTGGTAATTGTAAAGTGCGTATATGTCTGTGAAAATCTGTAAGATGTGGGTATCACATCACAGTCCAAGCCTCACCTCTTTTATAAGTGCACCATAGGTTTGGATCATACTGCTGCACCTGCCAAATTGCAAGTTTTGATCTTATATCCAATAGATCATTTTGATGGAACCAACTGGATTGTTTAAATAAAACAGAGCCTCGGGGGCTTAGATCTGAGCACAGAATAACAGTTCAAGTAGGTTTCCATTAAGTAAGCTGACTTACCGCAGTTAGGACTTTATCAATCTTCCATATCAGTCCAGCAGGAACTTTAATTGGCACTTTGACATATACCAATATTGTCGGTGGTGGGAACGGCCCCAAGGCCCAGTTAGTTACCTGGAAGTGAAGGAAGGTGAAGGGCAAAGTAACAACAATGATACATTGGAAAATCTGCAAGAAATACTGTTTGCCTGCAAGCAAAAACTGATGGGATCACCAAATACAAAGTAATCGCAAATGAAGAAGCCAAAGTGCTCTGGAACTTTAGAATTCAAACAGACAAGCATCTGTCACACCACACTTAACAATTGTCATTAATAAAGACAAAAAAGTCTGGATAGTGGACATTACAATACCTGGAGACAGCAGAAGAGAAGACAAAGAACAAGAGAAAATCATCACATACAAAGACCTGCAAATAAAAGTAGAATAACTGTGGCAAAAGAAAGCAAAGATAGTACCAATAGTAATAGATGCCTTGGATGCAATCCCAAAACATCTGGGGCATCCCTTGAACACCATTGTCATTTAAAACATTACCATTGGTCAATTGTGAAAGGCAACTTTGCTTGGAACAGCTTACATCCTGTGACAAGACCTTTAACACCATCCAACTACAACATCTGCCTAACCCAAGTATTTGGGAAAGATTTGATAGATGGACAAAAATCCAAACCAAGTCTAAACATCTGGCTGACTGTGCAACCAATCATTATAACGTTGGTAATGTTTAACGCAGTAAGCCACCCGGAGTCACCTTTGTGTGACTTGGACAGCCATGTAAATTTCTTTAATAAATGAAAATACATAAAAATGAGCCTTTGGGCCACTTTCTCCCAAGTCCACTGGAACATGAAAAACATTACAGAGTTCTTATTTTGGGAGAAATCTTGCAAGTGCTAACTCACTTGGTAGGAGTGTGTCACGGTCTTGTTTTCTTGCATTTTAGAACTGAAGTCAACGTATTGGATAGACGTTCCCAACCTGAAAGAGACAAAAGCAGGAATGGATGAGCAAGCAAGAAAGGAAGAAGATGAGAAAGGCAAACCCACTCCAAATTTATGTCACAACAAGAGATCTTATTACTACTAGAACCCCCTTGAATTTACTGTCTCCAAGAGAAGTTAACTGTCCATTATACTAACTGAAAAGGGAAAAATAATTCTGCAGTACTTGCAGACAGAACGCCATAAACCGGTAAAAGACATTATGCAACCATTCAGTCTTTTTAAGTGGCAGGGTTGCAGCTCAAAGCTGACAAGGTGTGGACTCTGCCAAATAATCTATGACCCCCACAGCAAATTGCACAATAAAACCTCATTTAGAAGCCCAATCTTGGAACCAAGCAAAGTAACCCTAGAGTATATTCTGCATTTGTGATGAAGCCACAATAAGCAGCTGTTGGAAGCCCAGGAAATGTCATATCTTCTGAGAAATAAGTGTGGAAGTTTTTGCAGGAATTTCAAACACCAGTATTTGTCAAGTTACTAGATCCGAGTGTGACTGACCCACAGTCACTAGATTCAGTGGCGGGATTCAAAATTTTTTACTACTTATTCTGTGGGAGTGGCTTGGTGGGTGTGGCTTGGCTTGGTGGGTGTGGCAGGGGAAGATACTGCAAAATCCCCATTCCCACCCCACCCCACTAACCTGCTTTTCAGCTCCGTTCTCCTGTGCAGGGCAGCAAAAGGAGACCCAGCCGATCAGCTGGGACTCGGGAGGCAGATAATAGATGGAGGCAGGGCTAGTCAAAGGTGGCATTTACCAATTCTCTGAACTACTCAAAATTTCTGCTACCGGTTTTCCAGAACTGGTCAGAACCTGCTGAATATCCCCTCTGATTCAATTGTTCTGGATGTTAGATTAGTTCTGCTTAATTATGGAGTGCACTACAGCGGTGTACAGGTCTGCTTTCATTTACAGGAGGAAAATGGGGGAAAAGGCAACCAAGAGTCTTACCCCTTGACAATGATGTTGATGGGGTACTTCACAGGGATGCTATGAAGAGCTCTGTTGTTTTGAAGAGTTTCATTCTCCTCATTCTCACTATAAGAGAGTAACGCACAATATAACCTTAGAACTACTCGTTCCAGAGGTGATCCAGACTTCTGCATCCATAAGCAACAAAACAAGAACAACCTCCCCCATGCCTGAAAAGTTTTTGATCAGTTGTGTGCTTCCTGCTCTAACATATGCCAGTGAAACATGGACACTAACTTCACAATCAATACAAAAGCTACGAGTGGCACAAAGAGCCATGGAAAGATACACGTTCGGCATTATAAGACAAGATAGAGAGACCCGCACATGGATTTGAAAACAAAAGTATACAATATTGTCAAGAGAGTAAAAGAACTGCAATGGAAATGGGCCGGTCACATAGCAAGAAGAACTGATGGCAGGTGGACCAAGGCACTCCTATAATGCATCCCACTTGATCAAAAACCCATGAAAGAGATCTAAAACAAGATTATGTCAGCAAGAATCATGGGCCCAATTGGCAAAAGAAAGCTCAGGACCATATGGGTTGGAATGCAAAAGAAGCCTTCATCCTGCAGTGGATAGACAATGGCTAGAATGAAAGCAACATTTTGTTGTAGCCAACGTGCAGACAATTTTTCTCCAACATCTGATACAGATAGTTGGTTCTTGCTTAATGACCATTTGAAGTTATAACGGATTTCCCCCCAAAAGGTACTTACAGATCCCGAGTTCTGAGGGCTGCACAGGCAGTTGCAGCATTCTGCAATCACATGGCCATGATTTATGACATTTTGGCTGGTTTCCAGCCTTTTTGGTGGGTTCCCGTGGAAAAAAGCACGCATAAAATAGATTCACATAATGACCGAGGTGTTCCCTTAATGACCAACATGTTCAACTAACAGCAGCCACAAAAAAAAAAAAAGTTGTAAAATTGGATCCTGTCATGTGAGTGCCTTGCATGACCACCACGACTTATAACAGAAATTAAGGACTCCATTATGGTATAAGTTGAGGACTGTAGTACATTATAGTAATGTACTGTACTATATACCTGTACTACTACTATTATAATAACTAGAATCTGTACATTGATGGCTTCTATCCTGGTTTTCTCTGCAGCTGCAATTGAATCTTTTCTTCAATCCACTTTCCTCTTTTTCTTTAAGACCTTTACATTTTCGGATCCCCCCAATTTTGTTAATTTTTCATCTTTCCTCTCCCTTCTCATCCTAAGTGGAGGATTTAAAATTAAGACAGCTCATTTTACTTTCTAGGTTGGCACCTAACATAGTAAGGCTGCAAAGAGATAAAAACACAATGGTTCAATAAAATAAGTAATTGAAGTTTACCTGGTGACATACGCCATCATCTCCAAGGTTTCTTTCCAGGCAACATTTCTGAGCACACCAAACTGAAGCTGAATCAAAGCCTAAGAGAGAGCAGGTCAGCACTGAGACAGTTCACAACGTCTGCCAAGCATTTTACTGTATTTTTCATTCTATGTTTTTCGCTGAGGGAGCAGGGAGCCAGAATTGTCTGAAGACAATTTCCATGGTCATATGGCCATCATGGCTATATACCAAAGGTACATGGAACACTATTACCTTCCCACCAAAATGGTACCTATTTATCTACTTGCATTTGCATGCTTTCACACTGCTTGGTAGACAGGAGCTGGGGCAAGAACGGGAGCTCACTCTGCTGTGCAGGGTTAGGGTCTCAAACCTGAGCTATCAGCTCTCCAGCTGACAAGCTCAGCATCTTTAACTGCTGAGACATTGCACAATGTGTATGTATGTGTGTGTGTGTATTTAAAAAAAAAACACATTTTCTGTTCTTTCTACCCGATCCTCTATATTCACAATCAAGATGCCTAAATTAGAGACATTGGCGGGACTCACCCAACAGTTGCCAAATGTAAATGTGATCGGGCTGTTGTTGCTTGATATAAGGTTTGGCAAACGTAACTGCTGTGGTTTGAAAACTCCTGTTTTTAATTTAGCACAATATATGAGGCAGACGTTGTAGATGGTTGAGAAAACTGTAGCCAATAAGCAAACAGTGGCTTCTTGTAAAGTGCGAACTAGCACATAATTTATTTCAGGATACCAGTTTTACTATAGGCCTCATCTTTAAGCAGCTTTTGCTTCCAAAAATTAGGAAAAAGTCATAATCTCTAGTTTATAGGATGCTATTAGACAAAATAATAATAATAATGCAAGATGGTCAATTGCTTCATATTGCTGTGATGAATTGCAACTGAACCAACTTGAAAATTGTAACTCATCCTTAGGAGCGCCTTAGGATCCTTGGTCCTATAATGGTATGTGGGAATGACCTTGCCTTGTTCCTTCAACTATAATGACTTTAGAGCAGGGGTTCCCAACCTGGGGTGCTCGCACCCCCTGGGGGTGCAAGACGATATTCCAGGGGGTGCGAGAAAAGTCCAGGTAAATAATAGGATATTGGCTATATGTTGGCATTTTTATTTTCTTTTGCAATGGATTAACTTAACTGAGCAAAATATAAATTTCAGGGGGTGCGAGGTTTGAGTGAAATTTCTTTAGGGGTGCGGGGCGAAAAAAAGGTTGGGAACCACTGCTTTAGAGTGTAGTCTGTTCCCCAGACATAGCACAGGACTGGCAAGGTTTGCAAGCAGCTATCCATAAAGTCTGCAAACTCAGCACATGTGCTTAGTTTTTGGACCAGATGACCTCCAAGGTCCCTTCCAGCTCTGTTAATCTGTTAATCCAGTGTGTCCTGCAAAGCCAGGAAATGAGGTTAGTTAATTAAACCATGGTTTAAGTACCGGTAAGCATTTCTTACAATACAGCCATCATCCTGCATAGAAAATGGTGAAAGTCCACCACTACCAGCCCCCTACCACCTCACTTGGGTGACCGTATACGTACTTTTGTGCTATTCCTGTAGATGGGGTGGCTGACATTGCAAGCAAGGCCTTGAAAGTCCTGACGACGAAGCATTGCATCACATTGCAGGATGACCACAGCATTGAACTGGGAAAGAAGAGGCAAGCGGTGGTGAGATTCAGTTTAATTGCTGTGACTTTTTCCTTTCTAACTCAAGGCCGGTTATTCTGTGGTGGGATGTGGTGATCAAGGGTCACAGGAAGGAAGGGCACTTTTCCAGAGGGCAAAGAGATACCGTAGCAGAACTGGGAATGTCTGGCAGTCAGGAAGAGGGTGAAGGCGGAGCCTCCCTAGCAGTTCACAGAGTGTATCTTATACAGATAGTTGCTTTAGTCTGGCAAGATTCATGCCAGACCCAAAGAACCAAAAATGACATGCGGAGTTACGGCTAATCCTTGACTTATGACCATGACTGAGCCCCCAACATTTCTGTTGCTAAGGAAGACAGTGGTTAAGAGAGTTTTGTCCCATGTTGCACATTTTTCTTGACACAGCTGTTAAGTGAATCAACTCAGTTAAGTTAGCAACACATTTGTTAAGTGAATCTGCCTTCCCCAATAACTTTGATTGTGAGAAGATCAGAAAAGATGATTACAGGATCCCGAGAGACTGCAACCGTCATAAACACGACTCAGTTGCCAAGCAGCTGAGTTTTGATCATGTGACCACAGGGATGCTGTATAGGTCGTAAGTGTGAAAAACAGTCATGTCGTTTTTTTTAAAGTACTGTTGTAACTTCAGTCCCTAAACAAATGGTTATAAGTCAAGGACTACCTACACTTCTAAATAGTTCTTTATTGTTGTTTGCCTACAAAAGAAATCTTGAGACCGAATCGGTATAACTATAAATACACTCTGTGAATTGCTAGGGAGGGTCTGCTTTCACTCTCTTCTTGCCTACTAGGCACTCCCAGCTTTGCTGTCTCTTTGGCCTCTGGGAAAAAGTCCCTCCTTCCTGCAGCTCTGGACTACATTTATTTGTTATATTTATATGCTGTCCATCTCCCTATCAAGCGATTCTAGGTGGTTTACAATGTCATAAAACTCTCTCACTCTTTCTCAGCTCAACCCACCTCACAGGATGGTGGTTGTGAGGAAAAAAGGAGGAGGAAGGTATGTTGGATATGGTCGCCGCCTTGAGTTATTTATAAAAATAACAGAGGCAGGTTACAAATAAATAATAAAACAACAATATGAAATAAATAAAAGGTTTAAAACATTAAAAATGTTGAGCCTTAAACGTTAAAACATTAAAATTATCAACAAGCTGAATTGAAAAGACCAACATGTAAATGAGATGCAGGTGGGATCTTATAATCTACTAACCATCTCCATACAAGGATGTCTCCCTCAGGCCCCAAAGCCAACTGGCATAGCCAGGTTATCAGGCCCTTTCAGAAGGCCAAAATCGGGATGGGGGTGGGTGGGTGGATCCCATCTCGAGGGATATTTCAGAGGGAGGGAACCACGGCAGAAAAGGTGGTTTTCTCTGTTACCCCTCCAGTTGGAATTCCCTGGCTGCTGCACCTTCAGCCAGAGTGAGTGGGGTGGGCTAATGCAAGTTGGGGTGAGACCCACGCCATAGAGCAAGGGTCCCCAACCTTTCTGGATTGACAGTCTGGGATAGAAGCCATCTTTACATGTACATTTGCATGTGTGAACAAGGCCACGATTGCACGCACAATGCAAACAGGGCCATGAGCACCTACCCGTACCATGTTAGAGTGATGCTAGTTCCCACATGACACTGCAATGCAATCATGAGCGGGGGGTGCGCTCGCACCAACAATAGTACCTACGCGATGACGCGATGCTAGTGCGAGTGGGGGGAGTGTGTGCTCGTGGCGATGATAGCACCAACGCAATGCTGTGACACTAGCGTGAGTGGGATGCGGGGACACGTGTGTACTGGCCAGCCACTCAAGCGGCCCGGTGGCCAATAGCTCATGGTCCACAGGTTGGGCATCCCTGCCATAGAGAGTTTACACTCACCATATAGCCTAGACTTTTGGGCCATTAGAAACACTCGGTTTTCAAAAAGCTCAAACTCCTTTAGCTACCGTTCTTCAGGCGGGTCAAGGGGAGCTGAGGAAATATATGCTATTCCAGCAGAGAGAATTACAGCAACTGGTGGGGTGGGGACACCTACTGCAAAGTCCTGCCTTCGAAAAGGTGGCATACGTACTTTCAGCACTGAATGTTTGCGGAAAGAAAGGCCTGGCAACAGGGGCACGTAGAGCATTGTAAAATAGGCATCTTCCCGCTGATTTACCAGTTCCAAATTCATTTCAAGTGGATGTTGAGGAGATACAACCAGTTCCTTGGACCTATTGAACAGGAGAAGAAATGGATTAGTGCTATTCCGTTCCCAGTTTTGATAAATATACAGAAAACAGAATCAAATACAGAATAACAGAGTTGGAAGAGGCCTTAGAGATCTTCTAGTCCAACCCTGTACTTGAGCAGGAGACCTACACCGTTCTGAACAAATGGCTGTCCAACCTCTTCTTAAAAATATATTCCAAATATGGTTTTGCCGGTACAATATAAAGCAGTACTAGGACTTCACATGATCTTGACACTATCTTTCTTTTGATGCATCCCTGAGGCCTGGCAATCTTGTTAGGGAGCCACAAGAATGTTTACACAATGCATTTTCTCCCTGTAGCCATTAGAACTGAAGAAACTGGGGTAGAAGAGAAGCTAGGAGTTTCTGAAAGATCATTTATTCAACTCCAGCAGCCTAAAATCTCAAAGATTCTTCGCCGTAGCCACATTTGCTATCTGTGGCTTCACCCAGCTTCATATTAAATTGCAATACCTTACAAAGCTAAACATAAGGATTATTAAAACAATTACATATAATCCCCATTTAACAATCACAATTGAGCCCAGAATTTTTGTCGTAAATTTTAGTGATCATTAAGTGCATCACCATGTGACTTGACTTTATTTTAATGACCTTTTTTATGAAGTGAGTCTCTATGGTCATTAAGCAAATCATTTGATCAATAAGCAGATCCTTTCTCCCAAAGGGGTGTTTTTCGTACCAGAAACTAGAAAAAAAACTCGCAAATTGCAATTGATGGGACCACGCAACGCTGCAACCAGTCGTAAATGTGAACTTGCCTGCCAAGTGCTGAAATGTGAACACATGACTGCAAAGGATGCACCATAATGGGATCCATTGTAACTTTGAACAGCCAGAAAGCAACTGGTGGTTAAGTGAGGACTACTGGTATTTAAAACCAGGCTACATAAATGTGGATTAGTATTGACGAAACTGAAGCCCTGCCATTCTTGGACAGCTTCCGATTTTTCTCATATTTTTTGAAGAAAAGTGCCTGACGGTATCAAGGAATTTATACTCACCCTGAAGAATGGAAAGTAATTTTCAGGTCAGCTACACACACTTCATCTGTTCCACAGTTCTTGTCAAAAGGAATCTGTTGTATTTTATAAGATAGGAAATATTTACACGTGTCTAGTCAGGGGTGGGATTAAAAAATCTGAGGAACTGGTTTGCTGCCCAGTTGCTGGGTGGGCGTGGCCATGGTGGGCGTGGTCTGCTGGAACTTCTGGGAGGGCCATTTTTCGCCTTCCCCAGGGTCCAGAGGCTTCCCTCGGGCCATTTTTGCCCTCCCCCGGGATTCGGAGGCCCTCCAAAAGCTGGAAACAGGTCCATTTCCAGACTTATGGAAGACCTGTTTTTTACCCTCCCAGGGCCTCCGGGTGAACCCTGCACTTACCTGCATCTGACTCCGGGGGGGGGGGGGGTGGGGGGGGCCAGCCAGTTGGTTCAACTACCAGTTCACTGAACCAGATGTAAATTTAATATCCGGTTCACCCAAAGCGGTCCGAACCGGTAGAATCTCAGCCCTGTGTCTAGTGAAATACCTTACCCTGCTGAACTTCTTCAACTCTGACCAGGTGGTGCGGATGGAAGGATTTGTGTTCCTTGCAGACAGCTGGTCATTCGCATCCTTTTAGAGGGTCATTGAGGCCACCTGGAGGTTTGTCTGTGTTCTGTCCTGAGCAGTGCAAATGGGTGTGGAGCCTCCTTGCAACTGCTGAAAGGACGGTGTTGTAGATTGGAGGTAGATGATGTCGTATCCCTCCCACTCCCCCACTACTCAGGTGACCCTGAGGACACAGACAAACCTCCAAGTGGCCTCAATGAAATGACCAGCTGTCTGTAAAGAATATAAATCCTTCCATTCCCCACCATCCAGGCAGAGCTTAAGAAGCTCCTTGAATGAGAAGCAAAATGTCTTCAAAGAAAAACAAGAAAGTCCAGTTGCCTCTTAAAAAAAAAAAAAAAGCACCTTTGGGACAACCATGACCTGGGTGACCGAGAACCTCACATTTACCCAATGCTGAAATTTGCCAGGTTGAAGCCTGCCTTCTGGTTTCCTCCCAGCTAGCTTTAAGTTATTATTACATCCTACCTATCTCCATCCTAGGGAAATCGTTTGTCTCTAATTGCTGAAATTCAGGTTCATTCAAACAGTGTCATTTCCTGCATTCCCAGTTCTGCCACAAGCCACTAAGCACATCTGATTTCATGGCTAAATTTGTGGGTCCTTGGTGCTCTCTGAGCTTGGTTGTTTTCTTGCAGACATTTCATTGCCAAACTAGGTAACATCATCAGGGCCAGCAGGGAGTGGGATTTGCTCTCATGTTATATTCTAGTGGCTTGCCCTGTCAATATTGCTAGGAATGGTCTTGATAGTTCCTTGATTGGGTTGCTCTGTACTGTTAGCTTGTTTGGCAGTTCCTTGATTGGGTTATTTTTGCTTCTTGATTGTTGGTCTAATATTAATCTGTTAGCCAAACAAGCTAACAGTAGACAATACCCCGATCAAGGAACCATCAAGACCATTCCCACCAACACTGACAGAGCAAGCCACTGATATATAAACAGAGAGCAAACCCCACTCTCTGCTAGCACTGATGATGTTGCCTAGTTTGGTAATGAAATGTCTGCCAGAAAACAACCAAGCTCAGAGGGCACCAAGGACACCACAGTTCAAACCTGATTTACAAATAGTGTCTTATGCTGATGGTTAAATCTGTTATTTCTCTCTCCCTCCCTCCCTCCCTCCCTCCCTCCCTCCCTCTCTCTCTCTCTCTCTCTCTCACACACACACACACACACACACACATGCACACACAAAGAGTGTCTCACCTCCACCATTGTCCTATTGCTTAAAGGGTTCAGAAAAGGCCTGGGAGGTCCACTCTTTAGCGCACTGTCTTCCTCAAGGGACAAATTCACAAGGACTTTAATGGGTGACAAGTAATCCTCAATGCAGTTCTGAAAGACAATGAAAGAAGCTGCTTAAACAAAGATTCTTGTACAATAACATAGCTAGTAACTATCACACTAGCAATATCGGAGGGCAGCCAACCTTCCCAAGAAGATGCTAGTGCCTTCCTTGTTTCACCAATACACCAGAGGAAGAAATCTAGAAATCTCTGAACAATGCAGGTAGCCTTCCATTGGTTTAGTGACTAAAGTTACAAAGGGTTGAAACAAGGGACTTAGGCAAGGAATGTTGCAGGTCCTATTCCCTAAGGAGATATATCTGGTGGGACCCAGAAGAAGGGTCTTCTCCATGGTGACTCCTTCTCTTTGGAACATCATCCCACTGGAAATTGGCCTCCTACTCTGACATTGTTTCAGAAGACCCTGAAGACATGATTCAGCCTGTGGGCCTGGGGAACCCTGACTGTGGAGAATGGGAAAGCCAGCAGGGAAAGTTGCAAGGTGAGGTCATATGATGACTCACTTAAGAATTGCACCATTTAACAATGAATTTTCTGGTCCCTATTCTGGTCGTAGATCCAGGGCTACCTGAAGATTCCACAGTTAGAAATAAAGTTGCTTGCTGGAATTCTTGTGTTTTCTCTCATCCTTTTTCCTATAGATGTATACACTTTCACTGTACCATTAGCAACACAAGTAAGAGGTTTAAGAACGAGTAGTTTCGATTTACCGTGATATTAATCTCCTCCAATACACATACTGGCTTTAGAGAGATTTCTTTGGCTCCGTTTAGAATATTCTTGCCATTCCTAAATTCTCCTCGGTACTTCACCCTGTCTGGGTCAATCTCCAAGCGGAACAAGAGTTTCACAGACAGGTGTCCTAGAAGGAAGAAAATGGCCGGTGTGTAAAAGGCAGAGCAGACACTCTGCAAGTCCTCTGTCTGTTTTGATGACTATCACAGCAAATCTCTGGATCCTGTTGTATCAAAAATACAAATCCTCCCCCCCCCCCCACATCCCATGCCTTTAAAAAAAAAGAGTGAAAAACCAGGAAACAGGAAGTAAACAGGAAGTCCTCATAAGTTCCTTTTTTTAGGTAGATCGTAACTTCAAACGGTCCCTAAGTAACCAATCATAAATCGAGGACAACCTATACAAAATGGATTAAAAACAATAATCACTTTTTAAAATAAAAAATGCCAAGGAAACAGATGCTTTCTTCTCTTTTAGATAATCAAAGACAAAATTGTGCTAAGGGGAAAAAGTATTAGAAGGAATTGTTACAGAAAGTCCCCAAGAGGATTATTACATATGGTCCTTGACTTACAACAATTCATTTAGTGACTGTTCAAAGTGACAACATCATTGAAAAAAGTGACTTATGACTATTTTTCACACTTGCAATTGTTGCGGTCAGATGATCAAAATTCAGAAAGTTGACAATTCATGTTTATGACAGTGGCAGTGTTCCAAGATCACGTGGTCACCTTTTGCAACATTCTGATAAGCAAAGGAGCTTCTATGGCGCAGTGGTTAGAGTGATGTATTGCAAGCTACTTCTGCAGCCAGCTGCCTACAATTTGGCAGTTCAAATCCCACCAAGGCTCAAGGTTGACTCAGCCTTCCATCCTTCCGAGGTGGGTCAAATGAGCACCCAGATTGTTGGGGGTGATATGCTGACTCTGTAAACCGCTTAGAGAGGGCTGTAAAGCACTATAAAGTGGTATGTAAGTCTAAGTGCTATTGCTAATGTCAATGGATAAACCAGATTCATTTAACAACCATGTAACTTAACTTAACAACTGCCATAATAAACTTTAACAACTGCGGCAAGAAAAGTCATTAAAATGGGGCAAAAACTCATTTAATAAATGTCTTCCTTAGCAACATAAATTTTGGGCTCCATTGTGGTCGTATGTCGAGGACTATCTGTATAATCCAAAGTTCTCCAAATTTGGTAACTTTAAAATTCACAAGTCTTAAATTTGCCAAGTTTGGAGACCCCTGTTTTAAGCAATTGGAGGCTATTCATAAAGAATACCAATGCCATTGCTGCTTAAACAGAAAACTACTTTTAAAAAGGAGCAACGTTGAAAGCCCTGAATGGACACAGCTGAGTCCAAAGCCTTGGTAGTGCTTTGCTTAGCCTAATACAGGGGTATCAAACTCAAAGCCCGCAGGCCGGATCCAGCCCATGGGGTGCTTAAATCTGGCCTGCATGGCTGCCCTGGAAACAACGAAGGATCGGCCCATGGTGCCTCTGCCAGCGAAAAACGGAGTTTGAGAGGGCTACGTGTGCCCCCCCCCCCTTGGCCCCCCCCCCCCCCCCCGTTCCTCAATGAAATTGAGTTTGACACCCCTGGCCTAACACCACCATGCCATTTTAAGTGAGGAAAAAAACTGAAGACTATAACAAGACGCGAACACAGAAAACACTCTAATGGACTGGCCGATTCTACATTTGGGTTCTTTCTAAAGTTGGCAATTTCATAGGAAAGCAACTAGCACCAAGGAAACCACGGTGTGTTTCGCCTTGTCCTCATATCACTTGCTGTGTAACTGATGTGAATGCTGGATTCTTCTTTGGGTCGGGTTCCGGGATCAGTCCCACAGTTTGGCTGTCCTCCAGATGACTGACTCACCTGTGTAACTTTCCGTGGCAAAGGTGTTATCGAAGCAGATCCTGAATTTCAAATTTATATTTTGCCAGGGTTTGCTGGGCCCGGTGCACTCAACATCTTTCACGGGAATTTCCTTGGGCTCAAAAGTCACTCGTGTGGCCACGTTAACAATTGGTCTAGATCTGCAAGTACCAGAAAATAAAAATATTCTACTAGTCCCTGTGGATCAAAGCTTCTATGTTTAGGTGAGGAGGGAAAGAGACACTACTATTTACTACGGGAGAGAAAGAAATGTAGGAGTTTAAAATTGTGGACGATCTTTAGATTCCATGGAAAAGGAAAAGCACTATGTTATACAATTAAACAATTACAGGTAGTCCTTGACTTACAACCATTCATTTAGTAGCTATTCAAAGTTACAATGGCAGTTAGACAAAACCAAACAGAGCATTTAATTAAATAATGGAAAACGTTTAATAAGGATATGTGAAGATTATGGGGAATAGATTTTGAGAATAATAGTTATAGCTATTGTTTGTATAAGATTTATTATTTGTAGTAAAATGACTATATTTTTTATGACCATCCACTGCAACATCCCCACGGTCATGTAATCAAAATCCAGAGATTTGGCCACAGGTTATGATGACGGTTGCCGTGTCCTGGGATCTTGTGATCGCCTTTTGCAACCTTATCTGTCTTACTAACAACTGCAGTGATTTGCTTAACAACTATGGCAAGAAAGATAGTAAAATGGGGCAAAACTCAGCTAACAAATGTCTTACTTAACAACAGAAATTTTGGGCTCAGTTACGGCCCTAAGTCAAAGAGTACCTGTAATTATAATTTAATTTGAGAAATAATTTTCCAGCTGAGACAGACTTTAATCTTCCTAAAATCCAGGGATTTTATTTCCAATAATTTACTCCTTCCCATCTCAGCCAATTAGAGAAAAGTCAATCACCTTCCGCAAAGTAAGAATGTTGTATTTTTTCTTTCCCCACAATTAATTATCTTTAACAAGAGGTAGAGTTTCCCTTTAATGTTTAATTCTATTTTTGAAACAGGAGAAAGAAGAAGTAAAATCAGATTGTTTCTCTTTCTCAAGATATATAGTAAATTTCATAACATAACACTAATTTCAAATTCCTTATCTTCACTATTTAAATGAAAAGTCTATTTTTGTTTGTTATTTTCAATTATTCTGCTGAAGCCTCAAGAAAGGAAAAATGAATCTTTGAAATATCTAAAGCCTATTTTTCTTTCTTTATAGTATCCTTTGAAGATAACAAAAAGTGAATTGCTTCCTACACGCTGAGAAATTTCCATTCTGTTGTCCATTTAGATGTAATCCTTTCTCAAGTTCCTTGTTATTGCTATAGGAAATGAAAATTCTTCTAATAAGTTCCCAGTTTAAGAAATACAGTAGCGGAAACTGAAAATATTGTTATGTGTCCCAAAACTGCTCTTCCCTTCACTTTCTGATCTTTCTTTCACTTTCTGAAGTCTTACGGCCACATCTGGGACAACCCAAGAATATGAACTCTCGGTCACTTACTGGAGCACCATCACCTTTCCCAAGGCTCCTACTGCTATGCTGGTGAGGCCATCTCCACTGAGGTCTGTCTTTCCATGGATGGACTGTCCAAAATATCTCAGACCAGGAGAAATGCTGGCTCCAGTAATTCTCTGCGGGAGATAAATGCTGTTGACTTAACTAGAAGTGAAGTTCCAGTCTGAAAGAGCCTTTTTAGACTGATTCCTTCAGAAAGCTGGTGCTTCAAAAACTAATCTTTTAAACTACATTTTACTGTTTCTATTCCACATTTTAGTATTTTTTTTTACTTTCTTGGAATGCTATAGATAGATGGTCATCCAAAAGTTTTTTTTTAATGTAGCTATCCTTCCAAGCCTGAAGTCAATGGTCTTTTCCATTTGTAATCCTCCTCCTACCATCCCCCCATAATTTCACATCCTTTTTTTCTTATTACAAAAGATCTACTAAGGAGTGATTGACAGAAGAGATGCAGGATTTCTTTGGCCAGTCATGTTGGCACTATTTATTCAAAGACATAACATTTGACAGACAGAAGAAGCCTTGTAGACCAGGGGTCTCCAACCTTGGCAACTTTAAGACTTGTGGACTTCAACTCCCAGAATTCCCCAGCCAGAGTTGAAGTCCAAAAGTCTTAAAGCTGTCAAGATTGGACATTCCTGTTGTAGGCCATCAACTCTCTAGCTCTAATGTCGTCCCAATCCAAGACTGACTTTCAGAATGTGAAGTGAATGTATCACAAGTGTTCTATGAACTCTTGTCGATGCATAGAAGTGTTCAGGGCAGTCTCTTGGCTAAATATCTATGGAGATTCTTAGTCATCCAGGTCATCGTTGTCCCAAAGGTGCTTTTTTAAAGAGGCAACTGGACTTTCTGGTTTTTCTTTGAAGATGTTTCATTTCTCATCCAAGAAGCTTCTTCAGCTCTGACTGCTGAAGAAGCTCTGACTGCTAGTTAGAGCTGAAGAAGCTTCTTGGATGAGAAGCAAAACATCTTCAAAGAAAAACCAGAAAGTCCAGTTGCCTCTTTAAAAAAGCACCTTTGGGAGTGTCGTGACTAGTTCAGTGGCCTGGGCTCATAGGATCCTTTAGTTTATTTATTTTACAAGTAACATTTTCTATTTGTTATATCCTTCAAACTGAATTCCCCCCTTGGTGATTTTACACACATATCCATGTAATTCACTGAACAATACGGAAACACTTGACCATTGGCATCTTCTGAGATGCCTACAGCTCTAACGTTTTGTAGTGGTTTCTAATCCAACTGTTACTCTAATCTGATCTACTTAGCTTTGGAGATCAGCAGCAAACAGCTGGATGGGGCATGTTAGCAAATCTCTCAGGTGAACCTAGCACGCTACACCATTGCTGTAGTCCTACCTGGCTATACTCCATAAGCAGAGTCTTCTCGTGGCTGTTGTAGATGTAGACCGCTCCCCTCTCTTCATCCTCTAAGGGAGCTCCTATAGCCACGTCTGTCTGTCTGTCTCCATTGACGTCTGCCAGATCTGTGATGGCTGCTCCAAATCTGCCCAAGGGGTATCCTAAATCCCCATTAAATTCTCCAAGGAGAATGAGATTATCCTGGAAGGAAAGATATCTTTGAAAGAGCGTCCACCCTCCAAATCTAGGACACCATGTGGGCACCTCACAGATGTGTTGGATATGCACAGGTAGTCCTCAACTTACAACCATAATTGACCCCAAAAATGATGTTGCTAAGCGAGACCTTTGTTAAATGAATTTTGTCCCATTTTACGACCTTTCTCGCCTCAGTTGTTAAGTGAATAACTGCAGTTGATAAGTGAGCAGTCCGGCTGACAAGTGAATCTGGCTTCCCCATTGATTTTGGTTGTCAGAAGGTCGCAAAAGGGGATCACGTGATCTTGGGACCCAGCAACTGTCATAAATATGAACCAGTTTCCAACCGCCTGAATTTTGATCACATGATCATACTGGAAACTTCATAACTGTGAAAAACGGCCGTAAGTCACTTTTTTCAGTGCTGCTGTAACTTTTGAACGGTCACTAAATGAACTGTTGTAAGTCAAGGACTACCTGTATTGCTCTGCCCATTTTTCTGGCTTACCCCTTTCCAGCCATACGCATAAACCCGGCCTCCTCTTGTTTCAGTGAAATATTGCTGGGCTCCAATAAGCAGCAGGTCTGTTTCCTGGTCACCCTCTATGTCCACGGCACAAAGCACCCCTCCAAAGTAGGAGCCAGTCTGCAAAAGGGACACCAAAACACACAGAATGAAAAGACAGAGTGCCAGCACAGGATCCCTAATCATAGATAATAACAGTTGACCTTTGTACTGTACTTTGAAATGATCACACACACACACACACACACACACACACGTATGTGTGTGTATATATATATGTGTGTGTGAGTGTCTGTGTGTCTGTGTGTGTATACCATGTGTATACGTGTGTTATGTATGTGTTTGGATAGATATACACTTTCTCCTGAGATCAGGCAACATGCTTTCATTTTTAGTGTCTGCCAGTGTGCTCTCAGTCAAAAATGACAATGAAGTTATTTTATCTTGACTTGTCCTCTCCACTCCTGTCCAGTCCAGTCCTATCCTACCCTACTCTACTCTATCCTTTCCTAACTTATCCCTATCCTATCCCTATTCTATTCTATCCTATCCAATCCTATCCTATCCCTATCCTATCCCTATCTTATCCCCATCCTATCCTATCCTATCCTATCCCTATCCAATCCTATCCTATCCCTATCGTATCCCTATCCTATCCCTATCCCTACCCCTACCCATATCCCTACCCCATCCCTATCCGTATCCCTATTCTATTCTATGCTATGCTATGCTATGCTATCCTATCCTATCCTACCCTATCCTATGCTATCCTATCCCTATCTTATCCCTATCCTATCCTACCCTACCCCTACCCTACTCTCCCTATCCTTTCCTAACATATCCCTATCCTATTCCTATCCTATCCTTATCCTATCCCTATCCTATCCTTATCCTATCCCTATCCTGTCCCTATCCTATCCTTATCCTATCCCTATCCTGTCCCTACCCTATTCTATCTTATCCTATCCTGTCCTGTCCTATCCTATCCTATCCTATCCTATCTTATCCTATCCTATCCTATCTTATCCTATCCTATCCTATCCTATCATATCCTATCTTATCCTATCCTATCCTATCTTATCCTATCCTATCCTACCCTACCCTATTCCTACCCTATACTACCTTATTGTCTTATCTTACCTTACCTTATAATCTAGTACATTTACATTGTCTGACAAAGTTTGGCCTGTTTGAACATTTGAACATACACTCTGGGTCTTAAACACATTACATTTGTTAATTGACAATATATTTGTAATCTCTTCCCTTGAATCTTCATCTGCAAAACCATCCCATCTCCCTCCATTTCTGTCCTCTCTCTCCCTCCCTCTCTCTCTCTTTCTCTCTCTCCCTGGGTACCCCATGTTTAATTATTCCATGCACCTGATGAAGTGTGCTACAGCTCACAAAAGTCACACAATAAAATGCATTTGTCAGTATTATCAGATCCCTTCTGATGTTTGTCATGTATAAATCCTATTTCAGTGAAGTGATCTACACACACAATATTTATAATTTTAAAAAGGTGCTATCAAGCTTTTTCTGATTTTGACTACCACAGACTTTGTGATTCTAGCTTAACCTCTCAGCCACTGCTATCTACTAGGGAAAGAGAAGGAGAGGAATCTTGATTAGGTTTTCTTGGGCCACCACAACCATCCTTTTCCTATCAGGATTTCCCAACCTTGGCAATTTCCAGGTATATAGACTTCAACTCTTAGAATTCCACAGCCAGCCTGGCCACTGCGGAGAATTCTGGGAGTTGAAGTCCACTCAACCTCAATTTGGCAAGGTTGGGAAACATTAGCCTAGTTCTAATAATGAGGATAGGCAGTAGTGGACCAAAACATCTAGAAAGTTCCTTATGACTAGAAGACCTTCAAAGTTCCTTTCAACTCTATGATTCTATTTTTTCTTCTTTACCTGTTGCCCTTTAATTTCTTGCTTTAATGTCCAGTTCTCAGTTTTGGCATCAACCTCAAATATGAGGACCCTTCCAATATGTTGGTATCGAGGGGCACCAACGGCGTAGAACACTTTCTGATGATGCTGGAGAAAACTTAGTGTGTACCCTGTGAAGGTTAAAAACATGATGGATGGACATCCCACAGAAGGGTTAGACTAATGTTTGTCAATCTTGGAAGCTTTCAAGATGTGTGGACATCAACTCCTTAAATTCATGCTGGCTGGGGAATTTTTGGGAGTTGTAGTCCACAGATTTTCCAGCTGCAAAGGTTGAGAAACATTGAGTTAGACTGAGGGCCTTTTGCACAACAAAGCAGCTTCTTCTTCAATTCTATAATAGGAAAGATTAGACATTCTGCCTGGGTTTACACACTGTTTTACATCAAATCTTGTTTTCACTACAGCTTCTTAAATAAGTCACAATAGCTAGATTTATACATTACATTAAATTTGGTGTACTTACTAAGGAAAGCATATCAGTACAACTAGGTTTATACAAAATGCTAATCAGCAGGCCATATGTTTATAAACCACAATCCCTGGGTTCACACATTATGTTAAATTGCTTTTTTTAACAATTGGTATTTAGAGATCTATATAAATAATTGAGTCTGTGCAGCCATCAAGGCTATAGGCAAAGGTTTCATAGAATAGAACCCTTCATAGGAGTTACTGTACTCACTTTATACCCAAATACTTATTGGATATTACTATATGTAGTCTTCGACTTACAACCATTTGTTTAGTGACTATTTGAAGTTACAACCACACTGAGAAAGTGACTGATGACTGTTTTTCACACTTATGACTGTGGTAGCATGCCCATAATCACATGATCAAAATTCAGGCACTTGGCAACTGGCTCAAATGTATGACGGTTGTAGTACCTTGGGGGGGGGGGTCACCTTTTGTGATCTTCTGACAAGAAAAGTTAATGGGGAAGCCAAATTCACTTAACAACTGTGTTACTATCTTAACAACTACAGTTTTCCACTTAACACGTATGGAAAGAAAGGTTGTAAAATGAGGCAAAACCCAGTTTACAACTTAGCAAGAGAAATTTTGGGCTCAGTTCTGGTCATAAGTCGAGGATTACCTGTATTCAAGTTTGTGAATAATTTTAAATATATTTGTAACAACAAGAAGCGATCACAAGATTGAAAGACAGGTCTGACTCATAACCCTTTGTACCATAGGAAAGATGGCAATGTATCGCCCAATTCTATAGGATAAGCAAAACAAAAAACTAACTTCAGTTTGTGCAAACATCCAGATCCACCTTCCATAAACCGGCACCCAGAACGGCCACGGTCTTCAGCCAACACATGATGATGGATATGAAAGAGTGGTTCAGATTTTATTGGCATCCTCTACTCACCCAAGTAGGCCCCTTCCATCTCTTTCCGGACTGAGGGAGTTGTGATGAATCTTTCACCAGCAAAATCCTTCTGCTGCTCCAGAATGCCCCCGGCCCAGTTGTCAGCACCCACAGCACCAAGAATCACCCGACCCTGCAGACCAATAAGATCTTGCTTTTCAAAGGGAGATCACCAGGAAGCAGAGATAGCAACCTTATAATATGCTCATTCGGAGGCGTTCTCAGCCCTGATTTTTCTTTAAAAACAAATGTTTTAGGGATGATGAATCCATACCAGTGTTTCTCAACCTCGGCAACTTTAAGATGTATGGACTTCAACTCCCAAAATTCCCCAGCCAGCATAATCTGGTTATGTGATCAAAATCCAGGCACTTGCAACTGACATGTATTTATGACAGTTGTAGCATCCTGAGGTCACATGATCTCCATTTTCAATCTTCCCAACCAGTGGTGGGATTCAAATTTTTTACTACAGTTCTGTGGGCATGGCTTGGTGGGTGTGGTGTGGCTTGGTGGGCATGGCATCTCCATTCCCGCCCTATTCCAGGGGAAAGATAACTGCAAAATCCCTATTCCCTCCCCACCCCACTAACCTGCTTTCCAGCTCCATTCTCCTGTGCAGGGCAACAAAAGAAGATCCAGCCAATCAGCTGGGCCTCGGGAGGCGGAGAATAGATGGGGACGGGGCCAGTTAGAGGTGGTGTTTTCCGGTTCTCCCAACTACTCAAAATTTCCACTATTGGTTCTCCAGAACTGGTCAGAACCTGCTGAATACCATCTCTGTTCCCAGCCAAAGTCAATGGGAGAAGCTGGATTTGCTCACCAACTATGTGATTCACTTAACAATTGTGGTGATTTGCTTAACCATTGTGGCAAAAAAGGTCGAAAAATCAGGAAAAACTTATTTAAAAATCATGTTACTTAGCAATGGAAATTCTGGTCCCAACTGAGATCATAAGTCAAGTCCATAGGTGGGAGGGGCAAGGGGGTCTTTCCAATCCTTCAGCCTCACCTGGGATATATCTGCACTGAATCCGCTGGATGACAATTCCAGGTGGAAGGATCTGCTGTCACTGGTGCCTGTCATGAAGAAAGATGCGGAAATGTTTTTATTTTTTGAGCCAGTTTCACAAGGGGTGAGATATTAATATTGTTGTAATACATTAATCAGTTCAGTATTCAGCTAGTGGGAATAACATGTGTATAGGAGTTAGGGGTTCTTAAATGCATTTTTTAAATATCTCAGTTTTCACCACCACCACCCCTTTGTTTATTTGAAAGGAAAAAATGTTTTCTATTTGCATTTTGTATTTTACCTTTTTTTTCAATAAAATAAAAATAGGTCATGAAGAAAGATGGGAGAGAGGGATGGCGGAGGCCTTTTCACAACCCTTTGCCCCCTCCCATCCCAGAAAACAAGGGTAAGAAAATGCAAATTTGGAGCGTATTGCCAGCACATGTCCACATATAGACAAATCTAGAGATTTGGTGATAGACACATGTCCACATATAGACAAATTTAGAGATTTGGTGATCTACATTGCCAATCCCACATACAGATATGGAAAATGACTGGGGAGTGGGAAGGTCGGTCCTCTGAGGTGGGAAGGTCGGTCCTCTAAGTGCATTTCCTCACACCGAGCTCCCTCAGCCAAGGTATTTGTGGAATGAATGAAAGGATAGGGACTAGGCCAGAGACTCTGGTGCCCTAAAAGGCTGGAAATTTATCAGTTCTCTTTTCAAGGTTGATTTCTATTGCTTGGTAAGGTTTGTTGGAAATTCTGCCCTCCAAGGCCTATCTTAGAAGCTCCAGGCCTGTTGGGCAAAGCACATATGTTGGAAGGCTCTAGAGTAAGGCTCTCCAAACTAGAAAACTCTTAAGACTTGTGGACTTCAACTTCCATCTGGCTGAAGAATTCTGGCAGTTGAAGTCCACAAGCCTTAAAGTTGCCGAATTTGGAGAACTCTCCTATAGTGGCATAGGAGGAGTTCCTCAACGTGGCATCATGGAGATCTGTAGAGAACATCTTCCCAGATTCACAAGCTCTTATTGCTGGTAGAAAGGTAGTCAAAATTGATCTGGAGAGCACCAATATGAAGAAAGCAGTAAACATACAGCTATATAGAAAGTCCCCAATTTATCAGGGTTTCTTTTTTTCATATCAAATTTCAAACACAATTAAGATTCTGTTTTAAAAGCAGACTGAGGTAGCATTTTTCCCTCAGTCTCTCCATGGAGGCTCCCGGTGTGCCCAACTTACCTTCAATGGCAAAGATATTAGACTGGAGATCATTGAAACTGTCTTTGAGCTGATCAAAGCTGGCAAGAATTTTAAAAAATTGACTTTTGGGTTCTGAGGCAATCAGTTTGAGATTCTTTTGGGACTCAGGTGCATTAAGGTGATTACCAATCTGGAGAGACAAGGAAGGAATTATTAAGATAATACTTTGCATTTCTATAGTCAGCCTTTAAAAACATTGAAAGATGCAGAAAAAGGAAAGAGCAATAAGGGAACGGGAAGCTGTAAAGAATCAAGTACAGGTCGTCCTTGACTTACAACAGTTCATTTAGTGACCATTCAAAGTTACAAAGGCACTGAAAAAAAGTGACTTATGACCATTTTCCACACTCACGACTGTTGCAGCATCCCTATAGTCTCGTGATTTACATTTGGATGCTTGACAACTGGTTCATATTTATGACGATTGCCGTGTCCTGGGGTAATGTGATCCTCTTTTGCGACCTTCTGACAAGCAAAGTCAATGGGGAAGCCAGGTTCATTTAACAACCGTGTTACTAACAACTACTGCAGTGATTCACTTAACAACAGTGACAAGAGTGGTTGTCAAATGGGGCAAAGCTCACTTAACCAATTTCTCACTTGGCAACATAAAGGATATAACTCCCTTTTTTTCAATGTTGTTGTAACTTAAAACAGTTGCTAAATGAATGGTCATAAGTGGAGGACTGTACATGAGAATTTGATACATATGGGTAGTCCTCCACTTACAACCATTCATATAGCAACTATTCAAAGTTACAGCAGCCACTGAAAAAAAGGGACTTATAACTGATCCTTGCATTTATGGCTCTCACAGCATCTCCGGGGTTACGTGATCAATATGTGGGCACTTGGCAACCCCCACATATTTATGATGGTTGTAGCACGTGATTCCCAACCAGCTTCCAGCTAGCAAAATCAATGGAGGAAGACAGATTTAGCAAATGTAGCAAAAAAACAAAAAAGGCAATAAAATTAGGCACAGCTCACTTAACTTGCCTAACTTGGCAATAGAAATTCTTATTCCAACTGTTGTTATAAGTTGAGGACCATCTGTACAGGTGTAGAATTAACTTTTATTAATGCCTGAAAAAAAATCTGATCTTATTGACTGAAATATACTTCTTCGCTTTTCTCCTTTTGAACTCATGTTTACATATTAACAATTAATGTAAGGAATAAGGCAGATCACTTCGATATTGCTTGGTGGACCTCTCCATTAGACTGATGGATGGCACCTCTGGATACTTTACCCCAATGATTAGGCGCAAAATGTTCTTTTTCTTGACAGCTTCTATATGTCCCCTGTCCCTGTCTGAGGCGTCCCCATCCGTGATAATGACAATCACTTTGTTTGCTTCTTTTCGGGTGCCACGTTCGGGAATGAAGACTTCATTTCTGCCACCAGAAAACACAGGAATTATTATCTAAATCATTGTTCCTTGAACTTGCCAACATGGTGTTGCAGTCCACACATTTTACAAATGGCAGTTTCGAGAAACACAGATCTAAACCAAGGAAAATGCGGAGTGCACTTTAATTATTGGGACCTGAAGGCACATTCATAACTTTAAACATGCATTTGGCCTCTAGCGGTCTTGCCATAATTTGATCCTTCCAGACGCGATCAGGCTAAAAGGATACTAACACAACAAGGCTATCTGCTGGGGTGAATTGAGGTTAAGGCTACTATTTATGGAAGGTATCTAATTTGGAAAGCTGTATCAGCTAAAAGCTAATAGGGGTAATCCTTGACTTACAAATATTCATTTAGTGACAGTTCAAATTTATAACGGCACTGAAAAAATGAATTATGATCACTTTTCACACTTACAACTGGTGCAGCTTCCCTATGGACATGTTATCAAATTTTGGATGCATGGCAACTGGTTCATATTTATGACGGTTGCAGTGTCCTGGGGTCATGTGATCACCTTTTGAGACTTTCTGACAAGCAAAGTCAATGGGGAAGCCAGATTCACTTAACAACCATATTACTAATTGAAGAACTGCAGTGATTCACTTAACAATTGTGGCTAAGAAGGTCATAAAATGAGGCAAAACTCACTTTATCACTGTCTCACAATTAGCAACAGGAATTTTGGGCTCAATGATGGTTGTAAGTCAAGGACTATTTTTACCTTTTGCCATACCACAACACAAAATTCATACTACTCTCTTCACTCACCTCACCATAACCAAACTACATGCGGAGTGCAGTGTTTTTTATCAGCTGGTTTGTACAACACAGTAAACTAAGCCAGGGAATAATCATGACTAAACTATTTAACTATGACTTTAGTGTCATATAACATGGCACGCCACAGTCACCCCAGTAATTCCACTTCGTCGTGGCTGGATGACTGAAACATCCAGGTTTTAGTTTTCCAAACATTTTCTTAAGACAGTAAAAAGTAACAAGTGACTTGCAAGATGTTTTAGACTGGAAAAGGTGCATATTCCTTTTCAGCTTTATGTCCCCATTTCATCCTGGTGGGAATATCAGAACCAAGAAAGTCACTCCAGTTTTCCACTCATCTAACCATGGATTAGAAACATGATTGTACTACAATAAACCAGCTTTAGGCAACACGCTCAAGTGAATTAGGCAAAATGTAATTTCAAACTGTACTTAAAGCCCCCCTGTCCCTCCAGTGCAATGCACATTCCAGATCTGGATGGCCTGCTTGATTCATCACCAGATGTTTCTATGCAATTGTGATCTAAATCTTTAGAAAAGGCACAACATTTTAAATCTCCAACTTGACTGGATTTCTTCTCAAGCTGCTCTCTCCCCCCCCCCCTCCAACCTCCTGCCACCGAAAGGAAACTACTCACGCCACAAATTTGATAGCTTTGAAGGTGTTTGTTATTTGCTCAGCATGAACTACATTGGCCAAGAGCTTTTCAGGATTTGGGTCACTGGTGTAGTTGTTAAAATCAAATTCGAGTTTGGCATCTTCTGAAAACTGCACAGCAGCAAACTGGAAGGGTAGAAAGAGAAAGAGACTGCTGTTAATGGCACGGCTGGAAAGATCTTTTGCAAAACACAGCATGCCTCACATTGTCAAAGTGGTCGGATGAAAGGGTTAGGGTTGAAAATCATTAATGTTAATCTGGAGTCAACATAGAATCTTAAAAACTATAAAAAGAATTTCCCAGCCCTGATTATAATTATGGCAGTCTCCTTAATTAAGGCAGAGTCGTTTTGAATGATTTTTTAAAATCAACTTCTGATAAGTTACCCTTGATGAAATGAGAGTTAATGGATCCACTTTCTTCCTGTGGATCCACAATTACAACACTTAGCCGAAATGGAGAGGTCCGACCTCAAGTGCCTTCCTTCCTTCCCTCTCTCCCTCCTGTTGTGCGAACTTACAGAAGAGGCAAATTAATGTTTTTAATGGTTATGTCTTCTGATACACCAACTCAGCGTAGTAAAGAAATACTCTTGAGGGAGGGAGGGAGGAGTGGATGGACAGAAGGAGAAGAAGGAGGCAGAGGGAGGAGAGGAAGGAAGGAGTGGATAGATGGGAGAGGGAGGGAGGAGAAGAGAGGAGGAAGGAAGGAAAGAAGGAAGGAAGGATCTTTCTCCATGGCACGTAAGTTAATTCTGCCTCTTAAAAAATTCAAGTTTCTTATGCAGAACCCACCCAGTACATGATAATCAGTAAAAACACCTTACATGTACAGAACTATTCCACAATTCTTTCATGACGTCAATCATGAACTCCTTAATAGTCATGAATTCAGATGTTTTCATGCTTGCTGACCCGTCAAAAAGAAACACCAGGTCCACTTTTCCTTTCAGGCACTCTGTGGGGTGAAAAAAGCGAAAACATCTCAGGTGAAAAAAGGGCAATTGGGATTTCTAAACTGTTGAGGAATTTCCTGTTGATGGTGCGTCAAAAATTAAATAGACTCCTGGATAAGGGCATATATGAAGCTGAACAGAAACTAAACTGGATTCGATTAAATATTCCCCAAGGGTTTAATAACTCCTTTCTTCTGTTATGTTAACCATTACAATTAAAATATTAATAATGATGCATCTCCTTACTTTGATATCCAGTTGTTATGTTCTTGGGGTTGTGCAGTTTGGTAGCAAACAGGTAGCAGATTCCACTTACATAAAGATTTTTGTCACAGTGTTGTTCAATGCCTGGCCCACATGTCTGCAGAAGAGAAAGTTTTACTGTTCCTATTGTTATCAAGAAAATGAAGGAAACTGGAGACAAAGAAATGCAGAGGTTAGTGGCGATATAAAAAGCAAAGGGGATGTTGGGATTCTCAGAAAAGAGATCCAGAAGAGCAATGAAGATCTTCAGTCCAGGATGACCCACTCCTATGACCTATGCTCTTCTGGATTTCCTTAAATTGGTACCTTTTAGAGCAGAGGTTTTCAAACTTGACAGCTTTAAGACTTGTGGAGTCATGTTAGCTCAGGAATTCTGGGAGTTGAAGTTCACAAGTCTTAAACTTGCCAAGTTTGAAGACCCTTGTTTTAGAGATTTGGGATTGTAACCCCAGAAGAGATTCTGAAGACCCAACTCTTCTAGAAATTGATAAGTTGGAGAGATCTGAGCTAAATTAAATGAATCATTCCACCTTTGGCCCTGAGCAGAATGCTAATATAATAGATGAAACAGGCCTTCTCAGTTGTGGCCCTTTCTCTCTAGAACTCATGGCCCCCAGAAACATGCTTGGTTTTCTCATTCTTGGTTTTCTGGGAGCTTCTGAACAGTTTTCATTTTAGAAACAGTTTTGATTATTCCAATACTTAGTGAGATTAGAGCAGCCATCAGAATTTATGTTTGTTTATGTTGATTTTGGGGGGTACTTGGCTTGTTTTTCTTCATGCAAACCTTTTACCATCAGACTGAAGAACATCATCACTGCAGGAAGGCGTAGAGTTTGCTAGCTCTTTATGTTAAGTATGGAGAATAACGGAGACCAGACATCTGACCAGTGACTTCAACTCTTTAATAAAGTGATAGAACATAACAGAGCAATGCTATGGGCAGCAGTAACCCTTTTATAGGGTTAGCTGCTGCCTTATTAACCAATGAAACTGTGCAACAAGTTCAAACTACTGACCAATAAGGACAGTCCCAAAAGTGGCCAATCAGGGACTGGTTCTGGTCCAATCCCAAGTTGTTGTATAAGGACCAATCAAGTGTGCAGGTTTTCAACCCCTAATTTGCATTTAGGTTATTCATTTTTATTGATTCACAACACCCCTCCCCCTTGGGTTCCGTTTGAGGGGAGCTGTGATAAAATCCTCAAGATAGGCAGGCCGTTTGGTCTGCCTGGATGATTTCCGAGGCTCCACCGGGTTTTGTCTAATGTCCGGTTCCGGTGGAGCGTTTGGATGACCTTTGTTAAATTCTATTTCGCTGCACGGCGATTCCGTGCTGCATTCACTGTGGTTGTCTCTGCTACTGCGTGTTTCTTCGGGGTTTTGCAGTTCGTTTTCCCCCGTATTAAAGTTCCCTGAAGACGTCAACTCCCTCCCCGCTTCACGTTCCGGTGCTTCGCTGGGCTGTAGGGCTCCCGTTGACCTGCTATTAGTTGTATCAAAGTCAATTCCCTCGATACTCCCTCCCCCTTGAGTTGGTGAACCGGGGAAGTCATGGCCGCTGGGTGGTAATCTCGATCGGAGCTGGTCTATGTGGCGTTTCCACACCCTCCCATCGTCTGTTAGCAGGCGGTAAGATCTAGGCCCGGTGAGGTGGGTAACGGTTGCGGGTATCCATAACGGGTCGCCGGAAAAGTTTTTTGCAAAGATTAAATCGCCTACCTTAAATTCCCGGCATTTGCTGCTGGAGCCGAAAGGTTTTTCCGGTGCGAAAGCAGGGTGGAGCCGGTCAAGGTGCGATCGTATTTTCCGCCCCATAAGAAGTTCAGCGGGTGTTTTGTTGGTCACGCTGTGGGGCGTGATGTGCTGCAATAAGAGAATTCGATTGATTTTCTCGTCGATGTTGCCAAATTCCATTTTGTGCAGGGTCTTTTTCACAAATTGTACCATGCGTTTTGCACGTCCATTCGCCGCAGGGTGCGCGGGCGAGGTTAGCGCATGGCGGATGCCCCGATCAGCAAGATATTGTTCAAAGGGCAATGCAGTGAACTGTGGGCCGTTGTCCGAGACCAACACGTCCGGAAACCCGTGTGTGGCAAATAGTCTGTTTAATTTATTAATAACTGAGTCAGTTGTAGTTGTGTGCATTCGATGAATCTCGAGCCAGTTAGAATAGGCGTCGACAGTAATCAGGAAAGTGTGACCTTTGGTAGGCCCCGCAAAGTCAATATGAATACGGGACCACGGTCCCCTCGGCGTTTCCCATTCGGTTGGGCTTGCTTTAGGTGGGGCGTTGCTGATGTCCTGGCAACGTTGGCACGTAGCGACCCAGGCCTCGATTCTTTTGTCGATTCCCGGCCACCAAGCATAGCTGCGTGCGAGTGCTTTCATCCGCACAATGCCCAGATGTCCCTCATGCAATACCGCCAACACAGTCTGTTGCAATTTGCCAGGGATTACGACTCGATCGCCCCACAAGATACAGCCTTTTTGGGAAAACAGCTCAGTTTGGCGGGCTTTGAAGGGCGCCCATTCAGGTGCAATTTGGTCCGTCGGCCACCCCCGTTCAACCCAGCGTAGTATGTGTTGCAGAACTGGGTCACGTTTCGTTTCAAAAGCAATGTCTCTAGCCGTCAAGGGTGGTGCCTGTAGAGCTTCAATCTGTAGTGTTGAGAGGGTTGGGGCTGGATCCACAACAGCGTCTGGGAGCGGTGTTCTGCTCAATGCATCGGCGTGGAGAATCGATTTCCCCGGGCGGTGTTGCAAGGTGTAGTTGTAGGCCGCCAGGAATTCAGACCAACGGGTCATTCTGGGGGACAATATATACGGGGTTGGTCTATTACCCGCAATGATCCCCAGTAGCGGTTTATGATCAGTGATTATTGTAAACGCACGGCCATAAACATATTCATGAAATCTTTTAACTGCAGCAACAATAGCTAAAGCTTCTTTGTCCAGCTGACTATAATTTCGTTCAGCTTTAGCTAAGGTTCGCGAAAAAAACGCGATGGGGGCCTCTGCTCCGTTTGGTAACACGTGGGCCAGAATTGCCCCAACCCCAAAAGGTGATGCATCACACGTGATAGTGAGCGGCAGAGTCTCGTTGTACTGCATAAGTACTGAATCAGAAGTTAGCAATTTCTTTACTTGTTGGAAAGCATGTTGTTCCCGTTGTCCCCAAACCCACGTTGCTTTTTTGTCTAATAGTCTATGCAATGGTTCAGCTACTGTTGCTTTGTGGGGTAAAAACACATTATAGAAATTGATAAGTCCAAGGAACGCCTGTAGGTCTGCCTTGTTCCTTGGAGTGGGTGCCTTTTTAATTGCTCGTAATTTGTCTTCGGTGGGATGAATTCCTTGGCTGTCCAGGAGATATCCCAAAAATTCTACTTTTTCGGTACATAACTGGCATTTATCTTTTTTTACTCTGAGGCCTGCATTTTGGAATCTTCGTAAAACCTCTCTGAGTCGTTTTTCTAGGATGTCTTTGTTAGGTGCGGCGATGAGTACATCGTCGAAATATGGGACAACGCCTTTTATCCCTTGTAACAACCTTTCCATTAAACTCTGGAAGATTCCAGGGGCGATGCTTACCCCGAATTGGAGCCGGTTGCATTTAAATGCGCCCCTATGTGTTACGATCGTTTGCGCCTCGGCTGTGGTTGGGTCTACAGGCAATTGTTGATACGCCTGGGCTAAATCTAGTTTGGCGAAAACTTTTCCGCCGCCCAGAGAATGGAGTAAATGTTGCACTACCGGTAGTGGATAAGCACTTTGCTGCAGTGCGTGGTTTAATGTGGCCCGGTAGTCTCCGCAAATTCTTAGGGACCCATCAGGCTTGATAGGCGTCACTATCGGGGTTTCCCAACGGGCGTGGTCGGTGGGTTCCAGTACGCCCTGCGCTATCAGCTTATCGAGTTGTTCGTCGATTTTAGACTTTAAGGCGAACGGCACCCGACACGGCTTAAGGCGGATGGGTGCTATTTCAGGGTTCAAGTTAAACGAGATTGGGGTCCCCTTATACTTGCCTAGTCCGTTCGCGAAAACGTTTTGGAATTCTTGCACGAGTGCTTCCTCCCAATCGACGCTTTCAGCCTTGTGGACTCCGGCTACAGTGATTCCGAGCGGCCTGAACCATTGGAGGCCTAGAAGACTAGGCCTGTCTCAATCCACGACAGTCAGTGGTAGTGCGACGGTGCGGTCCTTGAATGAGACCTGGAATCTGCGGGACCCGACGACGGGAATTCGGTTGCCCTGATAGTCTTTGAGTATAACCCTTTGAGGGTTAAGGTCTTGGCGGCGAATCGTTGGAAGGAGCTGTTGGAGCGTTTTCCACGACACCATCGAGAGGGAAGATCCCGAGTCTACCTCCATCACGCAAGGTTTGTTTTCGATGGCGACCTTTACTCGGATTTTCCCAGCATCAAGGGATGTAGCGTGGCCTATGGTGATTGTTTGGTGGGTCTCTTCCCGCTGGGTTTCTTCACGCCTGGTGGAAGTGGTGGACGGTTTGTTTCTGTAGGAGTGGTTTAATTTTTCTCGGTGTGTGCCGAAGAATCCTGAAGACTGGCATTCGGCCTGTCGGGGTTTGGAGTTTTGTTTGCTTCTGCAAACCTTTGCGATGTGACCTCGTCTCCCGCAATTTCGGCAGAGCGCGTCGAGGAATTTGCAGCCGGATCGTGGGTGATTGGATCCACAACCGGCACACGGTCGAAAGGAGTATTGTGTGGACTGATCTCGCTCCGTTCGCAGTCGGTTGACCTCTTCCCCATCGCTGTCGGACGGGGACTCTAGGTCTTCGTGGTGAGTTGATACCGGGTGTCTCTCTGTGCGAGGCGAGGTATCCGTGGCGAGTTTACGTAGCGGTGCATTGGTGCGGCACATTCGGGCTGCCGACTTCTTGGTCGCCTCTGCTGCCGAGGCTTCTTTAAGGGCATTGGTGAGGCTGATGTCCCCCTTAGCCATAATTTTGCTCTGGATAGCGCCGTCTTCTAGGCCCAGAACCAGGTGGTCCCGGAGGGCTTCTTCTAAGTCTGCGAACCCACAGAGGCCTCCTAGGTTCCGGAGGTCCGCGATGTAATTGGCAAGGCTTTCGCC